ATGCATAGTGAGACAATAATGATGTGCCATCCAATAGCAAGAAAGTAGTTTATTTAATCCAATATTTGGCTATTCCAACAGTGGTGGCATTCAAATATTTTTACTACTGGTTCTGTGGGCGTGGCATGACGTGGCTTTATGGGCATGGCAGGGGAAGCATATACTGCAAAATCCCCATTCCCTCCCCACCCCACTAACCTGCTTTCCAGCTCTGTTCTTCTGTGCAGGGAACCAAAGAAGACCCAGCCGATCAGCTGTGACTCGATGGGAGGCAGAGAATAGATGGGGGCGGGGCCAGTCAGAGGTCGGATTTGCCAATTCTCCAAACTACTCAAAATTTCTGCTACTGGTTCTCTAGAACCTGTCAGAACTGTATTCCAAGATGTTTGGACTTCAACTCCCAGAATTCCGCAGCTAGCGTCAAAATCCATGACCTTCAAGTGGCCAAGTTTGAGAAACCATGATTTAATCTGATTTGGCGCAACTGATGGCGGATCCTGCTGTTTAAAGGCAGCACAGCTTTACAAGGTTTTGTTTCACTGTCAAGTATTAATGACTGTTTGAAGAACTTGTAAGAATTACCCAATCATTTTTCTCAGGCCAGACGATTAGTCATGGGTATTATTATATAGCAATAGCACTTTAGACTTATATACTGCTTCACGGTGCTTTTGTAGCCCTCTCTAAGCGGTTTACAGAATCAGCCTATTGCCATCAACAGTCTGGGTCCTCATTTTACCCACCTCAGAAGGATGGAAGGCTGAGTCAACTTTGAGCCTAGTGGGATTTGAAATGCCAACTTACAGGCAGCTGGTAGTCAGCAAAAGTAGCCTGCAGTACTGAACTCTAACCACTGAACCAACGAGGCTCTATATATTCTTTAAACTACATGGATATTAGCAAAAACAGTGTTGTGGGACATTTTGTTTAGTGTTCAATTCCTTGTTATTTTGATCATTGAAGTGTTGAGCATAGGGAAAGTTTGCAGGTTTCAGCATTTCTATGTAATACAATATTCATTGTCAATAGAACATGAGACAACTTGATGTCCATATTATGACATGGATTGGCACAAAAATCAGATTATAATTAGGCTTTGTAGCTGTGGTTTTATAGTCTTCTATTTCTAATGCAGACAAAACTGAATGTTGGGACAGTCTAACTTTATGTTGATATAAAATTACAATAAAATTACACATGTTAGTTTACAGGTAATAATGCTTGATTTGCAATCATTAACTTAATGACCATTCAAAATTGCAAAGGCACTGGAAAAAATGACTTACAACTAGCACTCAAATTTACAACATTTGCAGAATTTCCACAGTCAAGTGATCAAAATTTGGGCACTTAGCGACTGTTAGTGTATTTATGATAGTTGCGGCATCCCAGGGTCATGTGATCATCATTTGTGACCTTCCCAGCCAGATTCCAGCAAGCAAAGTCACGGGGAAAAGCTGGACTCATGATTAAAGACCACACGTTTCTGTTAAACATGTGGACAAAAAAGATCATAAAATTGGTTGTGACTCACTTAACGAAATTCAGGTCCCAATAGTGGTCATAAGCAGGGGTGGGATTCAAATTTCTTAACAACCGGTTTGTGAGTGTGGCCTAATTTGTGGATATGGCTTGGTGGGCATATGACTGGGTGGGCATGGCTTGTATGTAAACATTATAAATATTTATGTAAATATTGATATTTTTATAAAAAAAAAAGAGAGCAACTTTTACCCAAAAGCAGGCAGCCAGATTGAGTTGCTCACAGAATCACAGATTCACTTAGAGATCTATCTATCTGCAATCGGCTACCTGAGTCTACACTGAAAAGCTTCAGTCCTAAGGAAGTTTTGGCTCTGCTTTTAGATTAGCTTCCTGCTTTCTAGCTAATCTAAATCTCTCGGCAGAGCAGAGCAGCTGATGGGTGGGGGGGTGGGGGGGAAATAGCAACTTACCAAACCAGGCAAGTTGGATGGCTCACATGCCAGGTCAGGAGTGAGTGGATGGGGAAGGGAGGGGCCATAACACGTGTGTGTGCAGCGTTTGCAAGAAATCATCAGCTGTGCCACCTGGACAGGAGGTGAGCAGCATTTGAAAAGCCTCTTTTTTCCTGCTTTTTCAATCTCAGCTGTGCCATGCAAAGCAGCTGAGGGAAAAACAGGGAATAAAGGACAGGTAAGAGCCCGGGCAGGCGGGTGGGCTAAATACTGAATCGGTTTGGTGTCAGTTGCTCCTCGCAGCTACCAGTTCTATAGAACCAGGCTGAACCAGTAGCAGTCCACCCCTGGTTTTAAGTTAATAGTACCTGTATTACATTTTTAAAAAAATACACTGCTGAAAAAGTCCATTACGCATTTATAAATGCACGGAAAACTGACAGCGATTAGAAAATGTCTTACAATCCACTGTAACCCTAATTGTCAGATTAAATATGTTCCATTTTAAAAAGTCATCACACATCTTACTTCAGATGCCTGTAGCAAACCGGCTGTTGCAATAAATGAAGGTAGCATATGGTGTCGTCACCATGCATTGTATCTGCATCGGTAAAGCACCGATTAGCCGGGTGTTCTTCAGAATTAGGGAAAGAAAACTGCCTACTGCCACTTTCACTTAAAACTAAGCATTAAACATGCTGTTTTGTGACTAGCAACCCAGTAGGGCCTATAACATGCCCAAGAGCAAAATGTATACATTTATTCCTATGAATAGCCTCCAGAGATTGATTTTTTTTTTACAAGCTGAAGTTTCTGAGCAAGCTCCAAGTAGTAATTCCACAGTGGCCTCCGATCCATTGCAACTTTTCTCCTGCTTCAAGATAGTTTTATCAGTTGTGCTGCTGTCAAAATCAACAGCGGCATTTGGGAGCCAACATTTTAAGAAGCTGCTGTGGGCAAACCACTTTCCTGACATGTTCAAAAGCCTGAAGCAGATATAACAGATAATCAGAGTTGGAAGGGACCTTGTAGGTCATCTAGTCCAACCCCTCCGATCAAGTGGGACACCCTCTACAATTTATAACAAATGGCAGTCCAATCTCTTATTGAAGGTCTCAAGTGATGATGCTCCCACAACTTCTGAGGGAAAGCTGTTCCATTGGTTGATTGTTCTGTCAGAAAGCTTCTCCTTATTTCCTGGTTGAATCTGTCCCTGTTCAGTTTCCATCCATTATTCCTTGTCTGGCCTTCAGGTGCTATAGAAAATAGCTTGCCCCGTTCCTCCCTGTGGCAGCCCCTCAAGTATTGAAAGACTGTTATCCTGTCTCCCCTGGTCCTTCTCTTTACTAGACTAGCCAAGCCCAGTTCCTGTAACCATTCTTCATGTTTTAGATAATAATTGCTATGGCACCAATTGTTATTTCTGGATTTGTATCCACTTGTCTATATATAAGAATACTGCTTATAAGAATTTTTTTAAAAGACTGTTAAAATAAAGTTCAATTTAAAATCAGTCTAATTAAAATTAAGACTCTTTCACAGTTGCTGGAGAAGGACAGATGAGGAAATGATCTAGAGTCTCGTTTTTGGAAGCAGGTGGGACCTTCAGAAGTTGATCTAAATAATCAGGCAGGATTTTGAAAGGCGGATCCTTAAGTTCTTGCGGATAGGGATTTAATTGATATAGATTTTAAACAAATAGTCCTGCACCCATTGGTAGCTCCACGGTCCTGCTAGAAGAAAGTACATGACCAAAATTTCCACGGGTTAAACAAGACAATTTTTAAGTGAGTTTTACCACATTTTACAACCTTGCTTGCCAGTTTTTTAAATGGATCACTGCAATTATTTAGTATTACAATTGCTTCTCTGTTGACTTTGTCAGAAGGTCGCAGAACATGATTACACAACCCTGGACCACTGTAACTGTCCTAAATCCATACCAATTGACAACCATCCAAATTCTTGATAATGTGACCCAGTGGTGGGATTCAAATTTTTTTTACTACTAGTTCTGTGGGCCTGGCTTGGTGGGTGTGGCAGGGGAAGGATACTGCAAAATCCCCATTCCCTCCCCAACCCACTAACCTGCTTTCCAGCTCTGTTCTCCTGTGCAGGGAAACAAAAGGAGACCCAGCCGATCATCTGGGACTCAATGGGAGGCAGAGAATAGATGGGGGCGGAGCCAGAGGCGACATTTGCCGGTTCTCTGAATTAATAAAAATTTCCACTATTGGTTCTCCAGAACTGGTCAGAACCTGCTGAATACCCACCTCTGAGGTGACCATAGGAATATTGCAACAGTTGTGTGGAAAAAAAAATAGCCATGAGCTGCCTTTTCCAGTTGTCACTGCAACTTCGGTCTCTAAACATGGTACCAACGAATGTTTCTAAGCAGAGACTACCTGTAATCTTTATAAATGACAGGAACAGGAATAAAAACAGGGTAAGATTCTTCATCCAGGAAACTTGCATTCTAAGCCTGACTCAGACCACAGTCTCTTCCGATGACTGTCAAAACTATGGGGCAAGATTATGGTTTTCGTAAACTGCCGAGAGAGCTTTCTAAGATCTTTACTTTTAATGAGAACCCAGTTTGAGAAGGGATATATCCCTCTTTTCAGTCTCCTCAAGACATTTCTGTGCTTTTCTTTTTCATCACACGCAGAACTTAACTTATTGGGCAACCCAAAAAGATTAATAAATCTCTCCTCCTCCCACCCCGAACTATTCACTGTTGTGATGTAATGGTCAAGAGTACACAAAACACCTTCCAATGGACCAGCTCCAAGATAGACGAGGACAGGATGGGTGTAGTTGTCATTCCTCCTAGACATCATTGTTCACATATACACACACAAAGATATCCCGCCATCCAGGGAAAGAGTTCAAAATGATTATGATAAAAAAATGGAAAAGCAAGCCAACTCTACTAGCAACAACAGACTGCACATGTGGTCAGAAGATAGTAGTCCTGATTCCTTTCAAGGAGACAAAATACAACAGCGTTATGATTTAAAAACGAGTTTTATTAAAAGGAGAAGAAACGAAACGAAAGTAAAATGTATGTTTAGCTTGCAAATCAGCCGCCAATCTTGAGAGGGGTGAATGAATGGGGTTTGCCCATTCATTTCAACCTAAAGAGTTGTAAAGCCCGCCACCTTTTAAAAGCCCCATTTGATTGGCCGCCATGGGTCAACAATTAAACTTAACACACACACACACACACACACACGTGACCAAAGATATTGTTGTAATTTGGCACTGTCAGTTCCTTGAAAACATGTATGAAGAGAAGTTACCTAACTTAACTGATGGAAATTAATGCACTGTCTTCAAAACTACATGGCGGTGTTCAGTAAGTTAAGGGTAAATTGTTAAATCATTCCTATCAGGTTCAACCAGGCACCCTACTTCAAATGTTTTGGTAGATTTTCTGTGTGAAGACATGGTGCCATACATGGCTCTTTTCTAAGAGCCACATTCAGAAATGTATCTTTATTTCAGTCTATGTAAATTGCTAGTACTTTTTCATACTTTCAAACCCAAGGCACCAAATTTCTTACAATTATGGGAAATCTATTGTCAATTCAAAGAGTCAATAGAAGGACTCAAGTGTTACCATAGTTACAAACATGAAAAAGTATTTTAAAAAGAAAACCAAACACATAGAAATGATTTTAACATTTTATCTATTCAACAAAAGTCTTTAGAATTGGATAAAACTGCAAGCTAACTGGAACTTATGCAAACTTGCTGAAATAGTTACATCTGAATTACTCCTAAAATGACGAATACCCAATTTAAAATTGAATGGATTAAATTAACACTAGATTAACATAACATTTTAAGACAAGTTAAACTTGAATGAAATAACTTCCTCCATGAATTCTATTTTGCGTATTTGTTCCATAAAAATTACAAATAAAGTATATCACTGCAGAATATGAGTGAATTCAATCTAACTGCAGCAGGAACACACATAACATTAATAAATTCTGCTTAAAATACCCGGACTTTAATATTCAAACACATCTGGTAAAACAAATGAAAGAAAGAATATCTTATACTACTTGAGAGAACAGTGTTTACTCTTACCAGAAAGTGTTATAATTGCACAACATTTCAAAAATAAAAACCACTAAATTTTAAGGAAACATCATTTAAAACTATGTTTATTTAAAACATGGGATAGTACTAATAAAACAGCATAATAAAATAAAGTACAAAATATTTGCTTCCTTAATGTAAACATGCCATAAGCTCTTCTTCCTTTAAATTTTAATTATGATTTTGGTTGAATATTGCCGATTATTAAAACTTAAAACCGGAAAACTATTTTGCAATATAAAAAGTAATTTCTCTGGTCTACAGTATAGTATAAAAATGGCTAGCTTAATAACAAAAGGTGACACATCCTAAACAGATGCAGTAAGATTTTCCTTTCCTGCTTCAACTGTTCTTCGCTCTTCAGCAAAACAAGAGAAACCAAGAATTCAATGAAGTCCTGATTAAATAATCCACAGGCTGGAAAAGCTCAGGGGAAGGCTTCAAGGAATTTGAAGCAAAATAAGGCATTTTACTTAGAGTCAAGTAAATTTATATGTAGATTTGGTTAAGGAAAAAAAATCACTGTCAAAATAGATGATAGATATGTGGCTACAGATGAATCAACTGGTTTAAACAAGCCTCAGCTACGTGAGACAAGTGAGGCAAATAACCTATTTGTGGCAACATCAAGTTATGATAGAAGTACATAATTTCAGCATTTGTCTCATGACCTCGCCATGCAATACCATTATTTTGATATCATCATGCTTCATCACATATGCCATTATGTTATGTAATAGCATAAACCAGTTTGGTGTAGTGGTTAAGAGGGCAGGCTAGAAACCAGTGAGTTCTAGTCCTGCCTTAGACATCAAAACTTGCAGGATGACTTGGCCAATCACCAGGAGATATCACTAAGTTCTATCTTAGGCACGAAAACAAACGCCTGGGTGATTTTGAGCCAGTCAGTCTTTCTCAGCCCACCCCACCTCACAGGGTTATTATTATGGGGAAAAGTATAGGAGGAATGAGCATTATGTAGACCTTTGGGACACCCGGGGCAGGCAGGCCTGGACCTGTGCTAGGTCTTCGAGGGACTCCTCCACTCCCGGGATCCTGTGCCCCATTTAATGACCTTCATGTTCATTTAACAGCTCCATCAGGGAAAGCAGGGATGGGGTAATTTTGCTTAATGGTCATTGTAGTATGAGACTCTAATAGCAGGCTCCATTTTGGTCGTATCTCAAGGATTACCTGTAATGCATTATAATTTCCAGTCTCCCTATACCAATTTTACACAATGTCCATTATGACAATCACTGAAAACCAAGCCTATTTCATTGAGCTGCAGAAATCAGTATAATATTTAAGGAGGGAAATGGCATACAAAAGGATATGAATCATAATCCAGTGTTTGAGTAAGGACTCCAGTCAGAACAAATTCTGCACTGTGGACATCTGAAAAATATCGAAAGAACATACAAATATTATAAACATTTAATCAGTTAGGGAAACCTGGCAGTTGGATCCCAATAAAATGTAGCAAAAAGGCAGGTATGCATTTGACCAGATTAAATCAGTGACAAGTCATATGCTGGGCACCTGCCTGCAGTTCTGAGTTTTTCCATACACCTAAGTAGTGCTTCAGCCAAGAGATAAATATACCACACCCAAGAATTCTCTTGGTTTCAAGACATAAAATGATCTGGCACAAAATTCAAATGTATTTTCCTATTCAAACTATTTTAATATATTACTGGATGACATAATGGAAGATATCTTTCCCAGCCACAATGAAAGGAGATGGGATGTGCAACAGCTTGAGAAAATAAACAGGAAGGGACACTACTGTTTGGACACTGCTGCTTACAAGAAGCCATCCTGGCAAACATCTAAAAAGCATCGTTTCCAGGGATTATTTGCAGGGGTATCTTACTGCAAATATCGAATACTCTTTCAGAATCCACAAACATAATAAAAACTGTATTTTAGGTTTGGTTTTTTTGACAAAGATGTGCAGATTGCATTCTTAACTAGCTAAAAAACCTGTCCATTAATTCTGATAATGATCACATTTAATGACGAACAATAGCCTTTCCGAATAGGTTTTAAATGGCAGTTGTTAAACTTTCACATAATTGTCAATATTGGTATATCTGGCAATTCATTTCAACTTTTTATTTTTTATTCTGTTACACTAATCCATCTCTCTTTCCCACTAATATGTGTAAATTCAACGTGGAACAAAATAGTACTTCCTATATTTGATAAACTCAGTAATTGTCTAGAGTTGCTAGGAATCAAGCAGTGTATAAATCTAATAATCATAATTATCTTTAATATTCAAATATTTTTGTTATTTCTAATTATTAAGAGTGCCAAGAAAATATAATTTAACATGCCCATTATTTTATAAGCAATTTGCAACATTTTGAGAAAAAGAAAATGACAAAAAAAAAAGAAAAAATGTCATTACAGAATGCACAAAAATAGAATGTAGTTCCTGACTTACAAGTGTAACTGAGCCCAAAATTTCCATTACTAAGCAAAATAGTTCAGTGAGCTTTGCTGTATTTTATAATATTTCTTGCAACAGCTGTTAAGTGAATCACTCCAGCTAAGTTAGTAACAGAGATGAATTTGGCTTCCCAATAGATTTTGCTTGTCAGAAGGCCACAAAAGGTAATCATATGACTCCAGGGACACTGCAACCACTATCAATATGAGTCAGTTGCCAAGCATTCAAATTTTGATCACATGACCACAGGGATGCTGCAACATTTCTGAGTGTGAAAAATGGTTGTAGGTTACTTGTTCCAGTGCCACTGTAATTTAGAACACTAAATGAATGGTTATAAGTCGAGGACTACCTGTACATTATCTGGCCAGAAGGAATTTGCCAAAGTAAGACTGAAATGCAAATACTGTCAGCATATACTGTAATATTATTTTTGTATCAGGATTTTTTTTCAGCAATATTTTAAAAATCATCCCAATGGTCAATTGTTATGCAGGCTGCCAATCCTATCTGTTCTTGCTGCCCTGAAATGAAAAATAGCAGTACCAAAATTATTCCAAGCATCCTATAGCTAGAACATTCAATTTATCCCAAAATTGTCCTTTTGCATCACAGCCAACGGAATGGCTGTGCATTCAGGCTTGAAATAAAACACAAATAAATAGATAATATTTAAAAAAAGATTAAGGCACAATTATTATCTCATCCATTTTATAAAGATGTTTTGGTTGTTAATATTGATTACTGCATCAATATTTAGATGTTGTATTTATCTTATAAATAAGAGAAATTAAGATTCATGTAAATTCATGAAGTAGCATGAGGCCTTAGGGCAACTGTAAAAAAATTAAAAACCGTGATAAGCGATATATTCTCCTCCACATCCTAACCATTAAGTATGCCTTTATTTATTTATGAAATGTAAATGCTGACTGACTCCAAAGTGACTCTGGCAGCTTACATGAATAAACAAAATCCGTTGCATGCTCCTGCTGAAGCTCTAAGACCAAAGGGCAGCTGAGGCTTGGGGCAGGATTGTGCCTGTGTGGCTTCTCATGACCACACACACACATTCCATGTGATTCACATGGTGCAGATGCCAGGCTCTCAAAGGGACTAATAAACGCTTAGAACATTGCTGGAGAAAAAAAGAGGATGAAGCCACAAGACACAACTTAGAGCTGCTACTAAGGCCTACCTCTTGGCAATAACAGCAGCAAAACACTATTATTTATCAGCCCTTATTGCGTCCTATACAGTGTCACTCAGTGGCCCTGCTCAGGATCACCTAGTCTCTCCTGGAATACGGAGGCTTAGTGATCATCTTCAGGGTTCCATAGAGGAATTTGTGGAACATCTGATGGACAGGTTGCTCAGATTTGTTTCCAATTGGAACCTACAGGTGGGGCAGGACCATGTGAGATGCCTGAGGGAAGGTCTTACCTGGTTATCTGAGAATAGCTTGACCTTGTTGAACCTGATGAAGTGGACAAATTCCTCAAAGCTAACATTGCAACCACCTGCCAGTTAGATCCCTGTACCTCCTAGTTGGTGAAAGCGTCCAGGACAATGACAGCCAAGTAAGTTCAGGCAATGATAAAGGAGGGCACATTTCCAGGACCTTTTAAGCTGGTCCTGGTTTGCCCCCTCCTCAAAAAAACCTCATTGATTGATCTTACCTGTCTGGGCAATTTTTGTCTAGTTTCCCACTCTCCCTTTTAGGAAAGTTGGTAGAAAAGGTGATTCATTGGCAGCTTCAGAGGGTCCTGGATGAAATGAATTATCTAGATCCCTTCCAGTTAGGTTTCAGGCCTGGTTATGGGGCAGGAAGAATATCGCCCTACTTAGAAATGTTCTCTGGCGAGAGCAGGATGGGGATAGTACATTCACTGTCGCTAACCTTAACCCTTGACCTCCTAATGACTTTTGATACCACTGACCATAGTATCCTTTGGGGCCAGCTGTGGGGTTTTGGGGTTGGGAAGCGCAGTGCAATTTTTACTGATTTGGCTTCTTCTTCCAAGGCCAGTCCCAATCAGCGTTAATAGGGAGTGAGAGGTCCAGTCTATGGCTGAGGCACACCACAAAGGCTCGGTACTTTCTCCACTCTTTTTCAACACCCACATGAAGCCTGTGGATGAGATCTTTCACCATCATGGGGCAAGGTACTAACAGTATTCTGGTGATATTCAAATTTCCATCTCCATCCCTAGTGACCCAAGCAGCGACTTGAGGCTAAGTGGGTGTGGATGGAGGAGAACAGACATCAGTCAACTCAACCTGGTAAGCGGCTTAGGGTGGGTTAGAGCTTTCAGCTCCAGGATTAAACGTATTTAGTTCTGGACGGGATTTGCTCTACTACAGACAGACCTGGTATACAATCTGGTGGTTTTCCTGGATTGGCAACTCCTAATCAATGAGCAAGTGGTGGTCGTGTCTAGAAGGGCATTTGCACAACTTTGTATTGTGTGCCGGTTGCAGCTTTTCCTGGATTGGGAGTCTCTGTACTCATCACTCAAGCCCTGTTCATCTCATGGTTAGACTACTACAATGTGCTTTATATGGGGTTACCCTTGAAGAGTATCAGAAGCTTCAGCCATTGCAGAATGCAGCAGTGCAGACAATTTTTGGCCCCTGAAGGTGGCTCACATTACACTGCTGTTTTGCAAGTTTAACAAACAAACAGCAAAATAGAACTAACTGTAAGAAAGCCCTATTATGGTGAAGCTCTGGAGTCTGGGAGAGCATGATGAAGAAAAATGCAATACGTAAATAAATTCCAATATACCTATATATTATGTATCAAATTGCATGTTTAAACATGTAAGTATGGCCTAAGGATATTAAGCACCTACCTATGTTTCTGGTAAAGTATTCTCGACATAAGTGTAGATCATTTTCACAAGCGATAAGGATAATCTCTGACAAGCTCTAAATTAAAAAAGAAAAAAGAAACTGAAATAGTTGATGTAGTTTACAGCTAAATATTCCATAAAAGAATAGAGATAACACACCCACCTTATTTTGTTTATGTTCCATAACTGTTCTGAAAGAAGGTTGTCTAGATAATAACTTCCCACCTGCAGATTCCACAATTGATTTCATAATATGTAGGCTAGGAGAAATTCCAGGAGTAATATAGAAATATTTCCCCTAAAACAAGAAAAGTTCAAAACACATTTACATTTTACCTATTATGTATTTAAAGGTACTTATATGTTTCTACTTTTTTTGAGGGTCATTTACAGGCATAAAAGCCTTTATCAAAAATATGGCCTTTGTCATAGAAAATGTATTTATGGACTTTTTTGATCATGGAAAACTGTGATTTTATGTGACTGTGAATGGTAAGAACAGTAGATGCAGGATGCATGGGCATGAGCTGCCACAAGGAAGTGAATTGTCTTCAACATTATATAACACACCAACACACACACACAATCAACCAATCCCCAACAAATGTCCATTACTTTATGCAGATGATATACCAGTGGGCTCACAAGGATCAGCTTTTGATGAGGTAGTTGGGAAACATATGTAACATTTGAAGAATTAGGATGATATTGCACCATCAATGATTTAAAGCCCAACCCAAACAAGACCCAAGTGTTATTTTCCACCTCTGAAATCAAGATGCATGGGGAAGAGTTGGATGTTATAGGGCAGTGGTGGCTAACCTTTTTGGGCTCCTGTGAATTAATGTGCTAACACCCAGAATGCAATGTGCACTCCATGCCCTCTGCGCATGCATGCGCAATCTCCACCATCTCCTTACTTGCACTGAGCCTCACAGCTGATTTTTCGGCCTCCCAGAGGCTTGGAAAAAGCCTCTGCAAGTCTTTTCAGGATGGATAATATGCCCGTTTCATCACTTCGGGTATTGCAGAAAGTGACGAAACAGGCCTATTCAGCCTGAAAAACCTTGCAGAGGCTTTTTCCAAGCCTCTGGGAGGCCGAAAAAGGCCTCATACCAGCTGAAAAATCAGCTGTGAGGCACACACATGCGCATGAGGTCGTCCGCCTGCAACTCAAGCACAAATAGCTCTTAGTGTCACTTGTGGCACGCGTGCCATAGGTTTGCCATCACGGTTATAGGGCAAGAGAACAGACTATAGCCCTGTCCAACACCAAAATATCTCAGTGTGACACTTGACAGGATGCTCTCTTTTAAACAGCATTGCCTGAGCACTAAGGCTAAATCAGCTTGAGAAACAGTATCATCTGGAAATTGATAAAACTGTAAGAGGGTAATGCAATCATCTACGTTGTGCACATCAGCTTTGAGCATCTCTGCAGCAGAGTATGCTGCTCCAGTGTAGCGCTTCTCTGAATACACGAAACAAGTTGATGTAGCCATCAATGAAGCAGTACACATAGTGACAGGTGGTTTCAAATCTACACTAATTGAGGAAATGTATCCTCTCGCAGGCATTGCCCCAGCTAAGATCAGGACAGAAGTAGCTGAGGGGACGTAGCAAGATAATGATTCACAACATTCTCTGAATGGACGTGTGCTCCAAGCCCACTGACTTAGATCTAGGAACATTATGGCAAGAAAAAAACATTCTTGAGGGTACACATACTACATGGAGGAGCAGGGAGACCAATATGCTTAAAGTGGAGGCTCTTAGTGGATAACAATACTGTGTGAATGTGAAGAGATGCAGAGCCTGGCCCATTTGCTGATATGTCGGCTACTACCCGAAACATGTACCAATAATGATACGAGGCCATAAAAATGGCCTCGTTCTAGCAGTTTAAAGTTTGATCTAGATATGAAAGAAGAAGAATCAAATAAACGACAATATCTACATTTATTCTTGACTGGAAACCCATGTAAACTTTTGTAAAAAAAACTGGAAAGTTGAACTTCTATGATTTATGATTTCGGAGACCAGATAGTATAGATTATAGAAGGAAGAGAGGAAGAGATGAATTTATAATTGTACTTATAACTGTATAAAGAACAGAAGTCATTTTTGTATTCTTTTTCTTCTACTTTTTCTTTCTTCTTTTCACTTTTAGCTTTCTCTTTGATTTCTATTTTGTCTTCTATCATAGTTTGTATTAGTTTTTACTTTTGGGAGGGTGGGGGGTGGGAGTCTATATGGGGATGTAATGTTTGTAAATTTTTTGCCAAGCAGAAAATAATGCATCTTTTACACTTTAACATTGTGGAAAAAAATTAATAATGACTTCTCTGTTCACTATTTTGTGGAAACTAAATGAATCTTGTGCTCTAACTGAAACTTGTTCTCTCACTTTGCTCCTTAAGAACAAGGAACATTTCAGGCAGATAGATGGGATTAGTACATAAAGTATAATTGGTTTATTTATTTGTAATTGTTTGGTTTATATCCCGCCCTTCCTTCGGATATTTAGGATGATTTACAAGGGATCATTCTCCCCTAAAACATCCTTCCCTGTGCAGGAAGTTGGGAAGAGACTGAGTGACTAGGCCAAACAGATTTATTTTTCCTGTCTGATTTTCTTATTACATTACTAGGCCTCCTAAAAGCATTTGCAACAGAATATGGTAAGCGCCCTGATAAAGTTTATCTGCATAGAAGCTGGAGTTGTTAATCATATAATTCCTTCAATGCACCCAGGAAAAATGTGTTTAAATTAGACATGTGACCATAGGTGAGAGGCAAACAATGTTCTGCATCACTTTTTCTTCTACAAATCCAGTTTTGAGACACAAGCCTATTGGTTAGGACTTCTTAACATGTTTACCAAAGGTAACACTTGTTCGTTCAAATACAAATGGAATGATCCACAAATCAAAATGCCAATACAGTTTTATAAATGTTGCATCATATTAGAAGATGCTTATACAAGCAGTATCCTAGTAGGTCTTGTTTTCAGTTAATTCTCCATCATAAATTTTAAACAAAGAATTCACACTGCCACCAAAAGTCAACATATAAAACTACCATATGTAATATATAAAACTAGATAACACAATTTTTTTTTCTGAAATTAACTGCACCTACAGAATTTTCCTAGAGAAGTTATTGATTCCACTTTATGACTTCCTAAGCACAATAATCAAGTCATATATGTCAAACTAAGATAGTGACTTGTGACTGGCTGGTAAACAGAGTTAATCAATAAAAGACAACATTTCTAGCTCAGGGTCCTTGGTGTTTGCTTGTTTTCTTACAAACATTTCATTACCCTAACTTGGTAACAACATCAGTTCTAATAAGGAGTGCTGTTTGCTATCATTTTATATTCTGGTGTTTTGCCTGTCTGTGTGAAGGGGCAGTCTTAGAGATTCCTTGGTTGGGCTGTTTATTAAACAGGCTCATTTAAACACACTGCAACAACCCAAAATAGCAGAAAAAGGAAATGGAATATCTATACAACACATTCCAACAAATGGATACCTACACAACTATCAAAAAGTCCCTGATCTCTCAACCCAACACAGCACAACCAACACAAACCCTAAAAAGAATTACAGTGCCATATATCAAGAATATCACAGAAACCACAAACTACTACAACCTCATGGAATCAGCGTAGCACACACTAAAGTGCTTCAAAGCATCCTAAGCAAACCAAAAGACCCAGCAACCCCAGAAGAAAAAACAGGAGCCATCTACAACATACAATGTAAGAACTGCAACAACCACTGAGTAGGACAAACAGGCAGAAGATCGGCAGAACACATCCATGAACAACAACTGGCAATCAGAAGACATGACAAAAGTTCTTTAATTTCACAACATATAGACTGATTTAACCATAGTTTCAATTTGGAAAATGTGACCATCCTGGACCAGGCCAAGTCCAAAAATGCCAGGGAATTCCTAGAAGCCTGGCACTCTTAACAAATCATCCATCGATGGACCCATTGACATGAACAACATCTATGGGCTATGGAAAAGAGACAACCAACCAGCACAAAAGAGAATAGATTCCAGCATCTCTCCACCAGCAATAACACCTAGAACAGCATAGATTAACCCCAAGGTTAATTTAAGACCAATAGTCAAGAAACTGCCAAAGATCCAGCAAAAACTGACAACAAACAGCACTCCTTACTAGCATTGATAATGTTCCCTAGTTTCGGTAATGAAATGTTTGCAACAAAACAAGCAAGCTCAGAGAGCACCAAGGACCCCTCATTTCATGCTACAAATGTTTTCTTTTATTGGTAACACTAATTCAGTTCTAATCCAATTTTTAGAAACCAAAAATATGAATTTCCAACTAATTCTGGTCTAATAGTTATTCATGCTTGGATATATGTAGATTCACTTTTGAAGCAAATGGTACCCTGTTCAACATATTAAACTCCATTTCCTTTCCAACTTGGTTTTCTGGTTCCCAATTCCTTTCGGGTTAGCCTCCTGTGGTTTTGTTTTGTTTTTTTTTTAGATTGAATGACATGGATTTCTCCCTGGAATTCCCCTTAAAGATCTGCTCTTTGGTTTTTGTAAACTATGCTGCTGATCTTGCCCTCCAATATGTGATGACATATAGAAATGTAGCTCTCAGTAAACAAACACAATTATACCTTAAAGAGTGGTGTCGCTTGCGCTCTCTTTAGAGATTCTTCCAAACTGAAAGAGAAAAGGACTTCAGCCTCTGCATCTCGGAGTATGTAGTTTTGTTCTTCTATAAAAAAGTTTGAGGGGGGACATAACTTTGATTTTTCGAAACACAAGATGGTGAAAGCATTTACTCATTCTTAAGAATTATTCTGAGAAAGTTTGAGGTGCTTAAAAGTTACCTTGGCACTAGCAGTTAAAAATTTAAATACTTCATTGATGTTCACTAAGTTTAAGAGTGGAAGATCACCCATTGGATTGACTAAATAAAGCTGTATTAATGCCTTTAAAGAATTCATATAAAAACTGCCATACAGGATGTTCTTAGGTTAGGATACCAATTGGGGCTAGGAGCAATGCATCGTGAAGTGTAATGTCACTTGATTGCAATGCTTAGTGATGGCCATCTTGGCAGTACAAGTTGCTGTCATAAACCCAGGACCATGCTAACTGTTAAGTGGCAAGGAGTGGGAGGAATCGGGGATGCAGTCAAGTGCTATAAAGTGCAGATGGGCTGGCGGAAGTTGTGGGTGAGTGGGAGGCTGCTATGGGCGGGCGGGCAGGCACTACGGAAGGCGGGTGGGTGTTACAGAGTACGAGATCCCTGGGGCCAATTTACCAGGGCAACTTATGACCTTCCCTGCCTGCTTTGCCTCTAATTTTTCTTGTGAAAAGCTGACAGGAAAGGTCACAAATGGCAAATACATGACCCTGGCTCACTGCAATATTGTAACTGCAAGCAGGGCACCCAACTGCCTTGGTTGTAATCGTGTGACCATGGAAATGCTGCAACGGCCAGAACTTCAGGGTTCGGTCGTATACTGTACATCCATTTTTTTTCAGCTCTGCCATAATTCTGAACAGTCACTGACAAATGATCATAAGCCAAGGACCACATGGAAGATGAAGAATGAGGAGGGGGGCAGCGGCAAAGAAGAGGGGGTCAACCTGAAGGAAGGACAAGAAGCAACAGATCAAGGAGAGATCCAACCTAGAACTAAGCAGAAATTTCCTGACATTACAATTGATCAGTGGAATAACTTGTCTCCACTGTGAATACTCCAACACTGGAGGTTTTAACAAGAAATAGGACAATTAATTGTCTGAAGTGATATAGGGTATCCTGCTTGAGCAGGGGGTTGGATTGGAGGATCTCCAAGGTCCCTTCTAACTCCGTTTTTCTATTATATCACACTCTTTAGACTACTAAAACAGAGGTAGAGTCAGAAATGGATTTTTGGGTGAATTGACTTTCAAAACGACACAGCAGTTTATTCAATTCTAGTCAAGCATATTAAAAATAGTATTTTAGAGGAGAAAACAGTCGTTCTAATTACTTCAGTGAAGTTAATTTACTTATGAACCAAAGGATATCAGTTCCAATCAAAGTTCCACTGCGTCACATTTGAAAGGAGGATTCCACAATACAACTCTTACTTTGTTCAACACGGCCATTTACTAACCTATAAATTTCTGACTCTTGAAACATTCCTCCAACCATTCCGGAATTACAATATGTTTTGCAACTGAAACTGCTGTCAGGAATTTTACAGTGCGGGTTACTTTACTAGCTATCACATGAGTACACTTCTGAGCAGACTCTGTTATGTTACCTCCAAGAATATAGACTTTCTAAAAATGGAAGAAAAAGGAAAAAAAACAAGAGTTTTTGAACTTTTAATCATAATAGGATAACAGACAAGAAAATAAAGGACGACCATGTACATGGGGGAAAAAACTCCTAAAAAACAATGCTCAATTATTACACAGTGATTTTTGATACATGGCTAGATCCAGTCACACATTCAATTTGTCAGTGGATAACCAGCATATTGTAAAATCAACCCTAAAGTCACATGAAATATTTTAATTCAAGAAGGAATTCACCTTTATGTAGTGATGCACTTGAGCTGGCTCAAATCCTGTAAAAAGAACCACTGGTGTCAATTCTGTTGGGAGTTTTTTTATAGGTGTTGGAAAGTCTTCAATTCTAGAAATATAAAATTACCTTAATGTTATTTTTAACGTTTTAAATCAAGTAATTTAATAATTACTTCCTAAATCCAAAATTAGGGCAAGAGCATATAGTGCTCTGTTATGCTGAATGTCAAAATTAAAGATTTTTTTTTCTCCATTTAGTAGATTATAAAATAAAAGAGGCATGTCTGCTTTTGCTGTGATATTTCATATTCCTCTGACATGTCTCTCACTTCCAAATATTTGCTCCTTGATTTGTCCCCATGGTTATACTTTTTTCCAGGTATGTGTAACTCAAAAACGTACGATGTTTAAAATCTAAAACAGCAACAAGACCACTTGCAAGCAAATACTGAATTGCTTAAGCATTCTCATTTTCTTACCTTGGCCTCTTGATTGAAGGTTGAATTACTGGTTCATTCTGCTTTGGTTTAAGTGGTAATCTCATGTTCTACAATTAGAGAAGATATAAATTTGATTCTTAAGCATTAGTTATACTTTTGTACCAATATATTTAAATATATATAAAAACATACACTGCTTCTGCCAACTCATAAAATTACACTCCAGGAAAATAACCATATTTTAGTCCTAATGCTGCAGTGGAAAAAGATACATGTATTATGTGCTTTAAAGTTTTGTGATGCTTTCCAAATAATTTTCTTTATTTCAAGCATGCTATCTAGATTAGTTCATCAATTATTACATAAGCACTTATATTCATAGTAGAGAATTCAATCCCCCAAGACATGAAGAACACAGAGATCCACCTTCATATATATTGCAAGTTCAGAATGTGGTATTATGTGCACATGTGGAAATATGCCTATGCAAAATGCTGAGCTCAAGCAACTGGAAAGATAAAATGACATGGGACACCTAATATAGGTCCTCTCCCTATACTGGGAGATCCATGGTATCTTCCTAGTTGGCTGAGCTCTGGGAGCAGTGGTGCAGAAAGACCAAAAGGAATTCTGACCAAGCACAAGTATAAGCTCAAAACTACATAGTAGTGAAAGGCAACGTAAAGTGTAGTTGTTCTCCCAAACTGTGCTATAGACTATCAGCTGTTGCTATTATTAACAGATAACAGATAATCAGAGTTGGAAGGGACCTTGTAGGTCATCTAGTCCAACCCTCCGCCCAAGCAGGAGACCCTACACCATTTCTGACAAATGGCAGTCCAATCTCTTCTTGAAAGTCTCAAGTGATGGCGCTCCCACAACTTCCGAGGGCAACTTCTGTTCCATTGGTTGATTGTTCTCACTGTCACAAAGTTTCTCCTTATTTCCAGGTTGAATCTCTCCTTGTTCAGTTTCCATCCATTATTCCTTGTCTGGCCTACAGGCGCTTTAGAAAATAGTTTGACCCCTTCCTCTCTGTGGCAGTCCCTCAAATATTGGAAGACCGCTTATCATCTCTCCCCTGGTCTCTTCACTAGACTAGCCATGGCCAGTTCCTGTAAACATTCTTTATATGTTTTAGTCCCCTAATGATCCTGGTTGCTCTTCTCTCTGAGCAATTCACTTCTTGGGAGTGAATTACATTTTAGATTGCCTATTTGATTGTTGCAACTAATTTCTGCAGCTCTTTGTTGGCAAAGTTATTCTAAGTTGCCAATTCTTCCTAGCTGAGTCTGATGTTGTTACGAAGTTGAATATTGGCCCGTTTGGGGGACATTTTATGGCCTGTGGAGTCTTGGACAGGATATTCCTTGTTCCTAGCCACTTGTAAGCTGGGCACACATTCCTCTTAAGACCGAGAGCGCGTAATAGACCAGATTGGGAAATGATCGGTCAACACCTCATTTCAGAAGAAACTGACACTGATATCCATTTCCCTCCTCAGAAAACCATCCCTGGATTTCCTCCCTCTTCTTCATGATGTAGGAGGAAGAATAAAGTAGAACTGAATTTCATGCAAAGAGAATAATAGATTTAAATGGGGGGAATGGGGGTGCAACATTAATGCAAAAGAGCGTACAAGAGAGTCCAGGAACTGGATAAGACTGCCTAACCTGATTGAACAACTAGTTAGAGCTCTGCATGCAATAAATAGTGTTCTGATTGAGTGAAACTAAATTCAGACTTATTCATCTTTCTGTAGGAGGAAGCAGCAAGCATTTGACCCTAGCACTTTATGGAAGCCTTTTCTTACCGGCAGTCTTTTGTCCCAATTAGTGATCATAACCAAGCTGGAAATTCCCTGTCAATTGGGAAAGTATTTATATAGAGACTGCATCTGATTTCCAAGGGAGGAAAGAAATATAACCATCAGATATAGCATCTGAGAAATTTTAACTAAAACTAATATTTTATTTTAACTAAATAAAATATTTTAAACAATATAAGTATTTTATAGTCCAGAATATCTTCACTTTTTCACATGCATTCTTTTTTCTGTTCCCCACCTGTAAAGATGTTTAAAGCAACACTACGTACCATTTGAAATTCAGGTGGCACCTTTAAAGGGACCCTCCAAGCATCTGGAATTAATGAACAAGAAAGAACAAGAAACTCTTACACCAAGGCAATTTCTGGGATGCTCCAGTACTTGGGTTAATATCCATTTGGTACATCCACTCTTTTTAGTCCATTAAGACATGCAATAAAAGCCCACAGAACATTCAAACAAGATGCAATTGGCGTAGGTTGGATGAATATAATGTGGTTTCATGTAGTTCTTCCTATCATTTCTCCCTCTCCATTAAATTGGGCTAATAGAAAAGGAGAAATTAACAGATTAAGTTAATTGACAGATTAAGTTGATAAAGACAACTCAAAGCAATTAATTACATCACAGAGAAAAAGGCTACATTTAAAAACTCTGCTTTAAGCCAGATTTTCCATTAATAATCATCTATAGAGCTAGATGACGCCGTTGTAAGACATAATTCATATTAAAGGATGTTTCATGGAATTATTGTTTTATACTGAAATGCAATGGTTGTAAAGTTTTACAAGTTTTCTTACCAAGAAGATTTTGAACTAGATGCTGATTAGGAGCAAAGGGTTCTTGAAGATTGAAAACTGTGTATCGATTGTGTTGCATTTGGCGCAAAGCTTCAAAGTTTCCAAGTAAAATATCACAGAGCCATTGTACATTAACACAAGGTATCCTCCACTCTTTAGCCTTTTCATACTTTAAGCCAGTTGGCCTTGAAATAGGTAAGAGTCAAATGACAGGAAGTAAGTCAAAACAGCTTTTCCAAACATGATGTTCTCCAAATATATTAGGACTGCATCCCCAAGTTCTCAACCCAGACAACTTTCAGTAAGCACTTAGGGTGCAGAAGACTGCCAATATTGCTAATATGTTAAACTTCACATCAAATAGTACTTATTATAAATTCCATAGTATTTATATTATTTCTTATAAAAATGAAAAATGATTTTGGAATCCTCTTAAATCATTAGAACATACAATTTTGAGGGCTTCAGTGCTAGTTTTTATAGAATTAGACAATAAATAGACAATAAAACTCAGCACCGTAAATGAAGAAGAATGTACTTCAACATTTTTAATGTAACATACCATAACACAGCCAGGGAAAACCAAATGCTTTTATATTCTGAAAAATGGCTGTTAAAAAAGCAGACATAAAATGGGACCCATCAGTGTTATCCACATTATTATTCCAAGCAGCACTTACGCTTTACAGATAAGAATGGTATTACTGCGACAAAGATAGCCTGTGTATTTTGCTCCTGCTAGGTTGGCCATCAACTTGAGATCGATTCTGTCACCATCCACAAAACCTGTTACAGTAATTATCTGGACAGAAACAAATGAAACAACTGTAAATACATTGGCTATTTTATTTTTCTTTAAGTGACACCGACCTTTAACTAATTCAGTATTTTTCAAAATAAGATGCAATCACAACTCCCAGAATCGATTCAAGTTCCAGATTTCCTGTATAATTCCTGTAAAATACAAAACTTTCATCTTCTTTAACAGGAAGCCTGTTTTAGTCAGTTAACTCCAAAAGACGAGAATAAAGGTTAAACCTCTATGCCTCAGTGCTACTGGACTAGAGGGTTGCATTATCTCCAGCAGAAGTTTCAAGGCAAAAAGGTAACCCCCTTTTCCCTTTGCTGTCATTAAGTCAAAATACAGAGGGCGAGACCCTTTTCTCTCTCATGCACCGGCCTTAGGGAGTGTGAAGTCAGTCCAGACGCATCTGAAAAACAGATGGTGGGAAGAGGAATGACTAAGCTATTTTCCTAAGACTAGGAGACTGGGCTAACATTCCCCGCAAAAGAGGAAGTTTGAGAGCCCTTCTGATTTGAAATCTCCCTCTGGTTTCCCGGATATAGACAACAGCCAGGAGTACCTTTTAATAGCTCGAATTCTCTAATTGAATCCCCAGTGGAAGAAAATTTCTGTAGGGTTTGGGTTCTATGGGGTAAATATTGCCAAGATGCTTCACATGAGATTGCCTTTATAATTAGTAAAGAAATGTCATGTTCACTGGGACAAAATTCAGAGATTAAAAAGACCACACTGTATCAATGTTAACGCTGACTGGCAATTTGTTTCCAAATGAAATACAACATGGTGCAGGTAAGTCCTGGTTGAACAACCACTCGTTCACAAAGAACAACCAAAGTTACGATGCTAAATGCAGTTACAATGCGTTCTTGTAAACTGTGACCATCGCAGCATCTCTGTGGTTACATGATTGTGATTCAGGCACTTGGCAACCAGTTCACGGCTGCAATGTTCCACAATCATGTGATGGCATTTTCCACTTTCACTGCCAGATTCTAACAGGCAAAGTCAATGGGAAAGTGGGCAGGAGATCACAAATGACAATTCTGTGACCGTGGGATGCCAGTCCCAATTACCATTCCTAAGCAAGGATTAGTTGCAGTTATTACTTGGGTCCAGCATATTAATGATTAAAAATGGTGAAATGTTAGCATTTTCCCCCTAAATATTAATAGTGGTCTCACACCATCTCTTAACCACCCAACTGTTCTCAAATTCTCCTGAATTGCCATTTTTCAGTCAGATTTCTGACTTCTGGGGAGGAACATTTTCACAGCTTTAAAGCTATGAATGAAAGTGGGAGAACCGTAGGAAGCGAATCTGTAAAATTTTATTGTCTAACTGTGTTAAGTTTTTCTAAAAATGGAGTAGTATATATTTACACATTATTGAACTCTAAATAACAACAGCAGTAACTTCAAAACAAAAACATAAGATTAAGCTTCCTTACATGCTGAGAACATGGTTTTCCTCCGGGTGGAAATGCTACAGGAAAATGAAGAGCTCGATGGGGTGGTACCATTTTCTTCTTTCTTAGCACAGAACTCAACCAGTGGGCAGTGATACATCTTTTCCTTTCTTTCGAAGCCTACAATATTCACACATGCAGCAAAACAGTGTTAGTATAGGTTTTAATTTACCACATTTATAAGCACTACATAAAAATATTTTTTTTAAAATGAACAAAATGCATTCTTGGTGCATTAAGTTTTCAGTTACAACTTTTAAATCAACACTGGGATCTGAAAGTTTAGATATGCAGGCCATAGTCCAGTGGTTCCCAAACTTTTTCAGTCCACCGTCCCTTGTGCTACAAACTCATCCTCAGTGCTCCCCGCCCAGGGGTGGGATTTAAATTTCTGTGGGCGTGGCCTAATTTGAGGGTGTGGTTTGCTGATCACATGACTGGGTGGGCATGGCTTGCTGGTCATGTGACTGGCTGGCATGGCTTGCTGGGTGGGTGTGGCTTGCTGGTGACATGACCGGATAGGTGTGGTTTGGTGGTCATGTGACTGGCAAACCAAATACAAGTGGTCCTCACTTAATGGCCGGTTGTTTAGCAAGTGTTCTAATTTATGACTGGCCTCCGCAGACCTACTTGACCTGTTTTTGGAGCTTGACAGCCATGCACACACGTATACACACATTCCCTTCTAACCCTGCTGGAGCAGGTCATTGGACTAGAATCAGCAAAGCATCTCTGATTAGATTCTAGTAGTGAATAAAATCTAATCAGAGATGCTTTGCCGATTCTTGTTGATTTGTTTATTTTTATTTCTTTATTTTATGCTGCTGAATTGCCTTGACATGTGTGCACCTTTTTGAGCACAACCCAGAAGCTTTTGTGATTCTTTGCAGCAAAAATTACCGACCTTTGGCTTTGCTCGACTTTCAAACGTGCTGCCACTGCCACGTTTTAGGTGCCAGCCCCGCAGGTCCACCCCATTGAGCCCGCTGCACTGGAGGGACCTGCCCAAGCAAGTCCGAGCGAAGCAGTGCACCAAGTCAATGGGGTGAGCCTGAGAGGGAAGGAGAGAGAGAGAGAGAGAAAAGAGAGAAAGAAGAAAAGAACAGAAAAGGGAAAGAAAGAAAAAGGGATGAAGAAAGGGTGGGGAATGGAAGGAAGGGACAAAAGAAATAAAGGAGGGAGGGAGCGTTAAGAGGCGACAGGGGGGCATTCAAGGTCTGGCACCGCAGACTCACCCCACTGACTGTTGCACCGGAGAGGTGCAAGGGGTCAATGGGGTGAGCCTGCAGAGTTGGTGCATTGAACGCAGTGGAAGCACATTGTGAACGTAGAGCAAAACTACCTGCCCTGTGCTTCTTCAACCTTGCCCTGCTCCAGGAAAGAGGGAACAGCGTCGCCCTTTACAACGTGGGGGGGGGGGCAGCTTGGGAGGCTGATTCCTGGCAGGAGGGGCACCCTGTGAACTTGCTGTCAGGCACAGCAACTACAAAGAGAGGCGGGCTTGGCTGAGCAGGATCCTGGATATTGGGAATGTGGTCAAAGCCCCACTTCCTCTGCCTCTCCCTAGTTCAGGGATCTGCAACCTTAAACACTCAAAGAGCCATTTGGACCTGATTCCCACAGAAAACCAAACACCGGAAGCCCCAAGATATGGGTGGGCGTGGCAACTCAATGGCACTCCCACTGAGTCACATGACACCCCCCCTCCAGGTTTTGTGGTTTTCTGTGTTTTCTATGGGGAACAGGTTGCTCTCTCTCTCTCCTCCCTCCTTCTCCCATCTCTATCTTTCTCCCTCTATCTCCGTCTCCCTCCTTCTCATCTCTTTCTTTCTCTCTCCCTCTCCTTATATCTCTCTCCTCTAACTCTCTCCTTCTCTCTCTCTATGCCTCTTCCTCCCGCCTTCTCCCCCACTCCCCTCTCCCCTTCCCAACTCCCATACCCAGGGAATAACTGTAAGGAAATTTGGCCACGTTCTTTCTGTCTCTGGAAAGATACAAAAATAAACCTTGCATTCCAAAAGGAGTGATAGTCAGGCTGTTACCTCACAGTGCTATGAGGTTGCTGCCTTGGATTACTGCTGAATCCTTGCAAAACTGAGCAAAGTCAGAGAGAGGAGAGCAGACAGAGCTGAAGAGCCCAGTCTCTCTCCCTCCCTTTGTATCTCTCTCTCTCTCTGTGTGTGTGTGTGTGTGTGTGTGTTTATCTCTCTTTCTCTCTCCCTGTCTGTGTCTCTTCTCACTCTCTCGGAAAGCCCTGCGTGCTCTCCTTGGGGTTCTTCGCTGTCCCCTTCCTTCCTTTTGGAAATCTGGGCTGGCTGAAGAACGAGAGGAGGAGGAGGAGGGGAGCCTCTACCACGGCTTCTGCTCGTTCCTCAGCTAGCCCGGATTTCCAAAAGGAAGGAAGAAAAAAGGATAGCGAAGAGCCCCAAGTAGAGCACGCAGGACTTTCCGAGAGTGTGAGAAGCTTCTTTTCTTTTTTCCTGGTGAGTTTTTAGAAATCCAGGTTGGCTGAGGAATGAACGCAAGCCGTGGCGGAGGCTTCCTTCCTCCCGCTCCTTCTCCTCTCGTGCGCACTACCACAGCCGGCTCCATGGCTGTTCACTGCTCTTGCAGCACCTGCGCAGCACACTCAAAATTTAGTGCACTTTACTCCATCCCCTCCTCCTCCTCCTGGAGCCCATTACACCGTGGTGCATCGGAGCTGCCGCATTTGAGGCGCCGGCTCCAGAGCAGTACAACAGTCAATGGGGTGACCCTGCAGGGCCTCGAACGCCCCCCTGCCGCCTCTTAGCGCCTCCCTAAGGCATCCCCCCCCGGGTGCTATAGTCCATAACACCAAATATGGTATGGCATTTACTTCTTAAATTTATCTCTTGACTTATGCAGTATGACTTCTATCTTTTCTCCATAATAATTACCAGTAGATAAATTGATTTGAGAAAAAGCAACTGCCATATAATTCATATAATTATGAATTAAGGTAATTCATCACTTTAAACATTACACTATTATGTCCCAAAGGTGCTTTTTCAAGAGGCAACTGGACTTTCTGGTTTTTCTTTGAAGACATTTTGCTTCTTACTCAAGAAGCTTCTTCAGCTCAGGTCATCAGGTCATCCTCAATTCCATTTGAAAATGAAAAGTGGAGGCACTTGCCTCACAAACATGATACAAGGAAATGTCACATTATCTTCCATGGACTACAGACTCTTTCCAGCATTTCATAAGGATCTAAAAATCTGGCTGCGTTCCTGAATCTGGGATGCTGAATGTGTTAGAGCTCAGCTTCCTGACTTTGTTGTTAACTAGCCAAATAGCTGCTAAACAGTACTTATTTATTTTTGATAAATATTTTACTTGGGATTTTTTTTTTGAAATATTTTTGTTTTAACTGTATATATTTTGAATTGTAAGCTTCTCAGAATTATTGTGTTGGGTTGCAGAAATTGAATGAGTATATTTCAAAAACACGTCTATTATTATTGTTTTGTATTATGAAATAATGCAGAGAAAGAGAGAAACCCACTCCTTTTTTTTGTCAACAGCTTTTCATTTTTCAACTTTATTTCAAGAATACTTAAGTCTGCACTCTGCACATTTGCTTGCAAGTGATTTATTTTATTAACTTGGATCCCACCTTTATTATTTTTATGAATAACTAAAGCATAACATATCCAACACACCTTCCTCCATCTATTTCCCCACAACAACAATCCTGGGAGATGGTTGGGTTGAGAAACAGTGACTAGCCTAAAGTTACCCAGCCAGCTTTCATGGGTAAGATAAGACTAGAACTCATGGTCTCCTAGTTTCTAGCCTGGCACCTTAACTCTAGACCAAACTGATTCCCATGCACTGTGGAAAAGCATGTTGCTTAGAAAAATTGCAGGCACATATCCTGCCTTATTCCCCTCAGATGTAAGCCTTCTCTCTTGATCAGCATAACAGAGTTACCAATAAAGCTGCAAGCCTGAAACATGCAGGACACTGGGGGAGATGGGTGTTTTAGAATAACCAGCAAACAACCTAAAGTTCTTTCTGCCACACATTTCAAGGTGAGGACTACACAGTAATCACACATGACTAGCTAGTAATTCAAGCCACATTTTTTTCTAACATTGGCAAACATCAAATATTAACACAAGCAGCAGGAAAAAAATCCTAGATTTAATTTGGGTTTACTTTAATTTTTGTTTGTTTTTCTCTTGAACCAATGAGACTCTCATTGTTTTGTTTTTGAGCCAATGAACAACTTCCTGCTGTAGTTAAACTTTCTGGAAGAAAAGAGCAGTATATTAAGCTTCAAACTTTAAGATGTTTGTAGAGTTATATTTTAATTGGATATACTCTCCGCTGATGATAAAAGACTATACAAACTATATTTTAAAAACTTAGAGTTATTAGACTTTTACCTTAACTGGAAATGATATATGGTGTTCTGTCATACCTGTGCATACATATTACTAAGCTGACTTTCACAAAGAAGATGTGTACATCGGTTTGTAAGTGTAGGATCAACTGTACCACCATAAGACTGGATTACCTAAAATAAAAAATAAAAAAACTTGTTTTTTTAAAAAAGACATGTCAGTGTAACATTTTATATATAGATAATGTTTGAAGCTACCTAGTCAACAGGAAAAACCCTAAAACAATGGTGAAATATTGCATATTTTGATAAAAACAGGTATAGTTTGGATACGGCTACACATTTTATTATAATTCATTTATTACAAAGAAACTACTGTAAATTTATTTTTAAAAATAGGTTACCATAATTTGATTTTTCATTAAAAAGGTACTTAGAAATTCTGATTTGAAAAATATTTACAAATGAAACTGATATTTACCCTTTTCCAAGTTGCCAACAGTTGTTTATTAGACATCTGTTCAGGGTAATCAGCAATTGCAAAGATACAACCCATTAAAAAATAACCTTCAGGAACTGAAAAAAATAAGGCAGTTGAACTTCATCTAAAATATTTTTTCTCTTAAATAATTATTAATGCAATCATCTACAATGGTATGTACATTTAAAACTTGGTTCCTCTCAAACCAATCAAACCAATCAATATTGAGATACAGATGCCTTGTGTTTACTTGTCTTTCAAATGCAACAAGTTGCCTTCTTGCTAAGAGTGTGCAAAGCATTTCAATTCCCAAATAGCCATTTTACAGATTCCAAGATTGAAGCAAATTCAATATTGAGAATTGTGTTTCAAAATCAGAACAAATTACACTGTTTTGCTCTATCTTTTGACCAGTATTATTCCAAGGTCCCAAAAATTCCAACAGCAATTAGGCTGCTGCTTTGCGATTTGCACATTGCATCTGTCATCCACTAGTTAGGAGACAGCAGCGGAAACCAGTTGTGTCCGTAAAGCTATTAGTTTGGAATGAAACAGGAAATGTGGGAATGGATAGTTGAGAAAGGAGTCACATGAGGCAAAGGTTAAGCATATCTACCTGTCTGATTCTGCTATAAGAAAGCTGCAATCCATACAAATGTGTGGAACGTTTTTAGAGGACAAGATTTGATAAATATACCCCATTCCCCATATTAAAAGAAAGCTGACATAGAGGAAAGCGTATTGGATTCAAGTGCTAACTGCATTCAAAATGTAACCATTACATTTGAGATATCACAATTTGAATCATAATGCAACTGAGTAATCTGGCTTTGTTCTAGTGCTCTAGTATGAAGTTTAGGAAACCAGAAATCCATTTCTAGGTCAATCCAATTGATGACACTTAAAAACTGGACAGGGGTCCAAAAGTCCTAAAAGCAATTTTTAAACCTTTTATCTATGTGCAAAAACTTCCTCAGGGTAGTAGCTATCCTTGATTTCTTTGGTTTCTCATATATAACGGCTGACAGCTTAGCCTTTTTAGAACTGTCCTGCTTCTCTTACTTCCTTCTTTCATAAATCAACTGAGTGGGAAAGGGCTTGCCTTGCTGACAGCTGTTAGTACTGGATCACGCATACTGTGCATGCTAATATATCTGTATCAAGTATGCTTTAGTTGATTTATTCTTGACCAATAATTTAACAGCCAAAATATTTTTTTCTCATTTTAAACAATTTTGCCTCAAAGTGTAAGAAAAAAATAGATCAACCACTGATCTATCTCTCTTGATCTTTGGGGGAAAATAGGAAGAAACACTAAGGACGCCACCTTGAAATCCTGTACAAAAGTCAGGATGATTATAACTAATTGTCCTACCTTCTATAGATGGGTCATGTCCAAACAGTTGATGCTGCTGCAGTTGTTGCTGCTGATGATTCTGTGGTGCCTGAATTGGAACTTGATGGTGTAGCGTCTGAGATGTTGGAGTCAAGTGTTGTGATGCCTGATTTTGCATTTGTTGTTGTTGTTGCTGCTGCTGCTGCTGCATTTGTTGTAAGTGCTGCTGTTGGAGTTGTTGCTGCTGAAGTTGTTGCTGCTGCTGGTGCTGAAACTGCTGAAGGTTTTGTTGCTGAAGCTGCATTTGCTGCTGCCGCTGCAGGTGCTGCTGTTGCAACCGATGCAATTGCTGCTGCTGCTGCTGAAACGGCATGGGCTGTGGGGGGCGATGCATTTGTTGCTGGGAGTGTATCAGTTGGGAAGGGAAGGGCAGCTGCTGCTGCGGCGGCTGCTGTTGCTGCTGCTGCTGAGGAAACTGGTGCTGATGGACTTGCTGCTGTTGTGCAAACTGATGTGGCTGCTGTGGGAAAGGTGGTTGGGGAATCTGAGCCTGTGGCGGCTGGGACTGTTGCTGCAACTGCAGGAGCTGCTGGGCTTGGAGGTGCAAGAGATGGTGATGCTGCTGCTGCTGCTGCTGCTGCTGCTGCTGAGGCTGGTGATGCTGAGACGGAGGCGGCTGCACTAAGCGTGTTTCTGGGGCCAGTTTGACCTGGCTAAGCAAGACTGCATTGGGATGCCCCTGCTGACTGTGGTTTACCTGTGGCTCCAAAGTTTTTGTGGGTGCTGAAAGTGACTGCAAGATCTAGAAAACAACATGGATGCTTTATTATAGTTATAGTTCTGTTTTTTTTCCTAACACTTCTCCGGGGTAAAAGCTACCAAGATTATTCAGAACGAATCAAATTATAAAGACACAAAAACAAGAAAAGTGGATTAAATATATTTAGAGAACATTAAAAGCAAATGAAGGCAAACACTCTGGCATGTTTCTGAAAGCTGAGAATGGGCAACATTATAGTCCTGAATAAAGTGCATCACTCTCATAATATTGACAAAGCGATATTACCGTCAAGGGGACTTTCCTGAAAATCTTAGTAAACAACTACACACATATAATGAAATAAACATTTCCTTAATTTATTAGATATTTGTATAAACCAACATTTGGCTTGCACCAGTGAGGCATGCAATACTGCTGTAGAAATGCTTTCTTGATACCATGCCTTGGTTAACTGCACTTAGCTCCACTTGAAGTCTAAAGGCTCTTAAAGAGCTGCCCTCATTAGGCTGTAATTTCTTCCAGTCAAGACTTCAGAAATGTTTCAAGTAATTCACCAAAACACAGATATGCAAAAAGAAATTCCTAGAACTACCATGTAAAAATCCAAGACTGGGTAAAAAAGAAAAATGCCATCTTAAATTATGTTTTTATACTCCACTTGACTTTCAGAAAACATCCTACATTTTAACAAAACAATCACATTTTTCTCTTCAAAATGTTGTTTTTATTTCAGAAGTTCATAGACAATTCATGTATTCAAAAAACTGAGGATGATCAAAGGTGGTCTAAGAATTCCAAACAGAAAATCTTAAACCAACAACAAAATCTTCATTATGACAAGTGACAAGTGTGTGTTTGGAATTCTGCATGCATCAATCACTTCAGGGAAGTCCCAACTACTGATATAAATTAAGACAAGAAAGTGTTCGTTTTAAAGGAATGTTTTATCAACATATACTTTGAAAAAGTACTTACATGTGCTACATTTGATTGCCTATTAACCTGCTGAATATCAGCATTATTGGTAATATTTCTTAGTGTCCGGACTGCAGGACTCCATGCTGCCATCATTTCAGGATGTCCAGAACTTTGCGGAGTTTGTACTGAAGCCATTATATTACTTCTGATATCAGGGGACAAAATATTGCCTGGGACAGGTGGGACATTGGCACACAAATTAATCAATCCAGAATCCTTGCCTGGAGTCAATGTGTGTTTTCTGGCAACAGTCTGTGGAACTTCAGCTGTGGTCCAGTTCAAATTTCTTTCATGCTTTTCAGGAGAGGAATCTGATGAGTCGTCAAACATAAGTTCTCCTTTGTTTTTGTCAGCATCAATAGACTTAGGAGAAAAAGTTCGATTGCCCAAAGGAGATCCTTCTTGAGAAGATAGTGGACTTGATAACTTTTCATCAGTACTCCCTTCATTTTGGGAATCCTGTTCTTCATTTTCTTCCTCCTCCTCCTCCTCTTCTTCTTCCTCATATATTATTAAACGGGGGTGATAGGGAGCCTCATCTTTTTTGGTTTTATCAGATATAGAATCTAGAATCCAGTCAGGTGTCACGATTTTAATGTTCTCTCGTTTATTAGCACATTCGTATTTTTCCTGGAAAGGACAAAAATGTTTGAAATGTAGATATTATAAATGCAAACTGAATGAATTCAAAATGTTTCTAATGTCAGATTGCTGATAGGTGAAACTTACTTACTTACTCTGTAGTTGCGCAACTACCAATAGGTATCTCAGCTAAATTCATAATGCTGGTTATTACCTACCAAACCCTACAAGGTGCAGCATCAGAGTATATCAGGGACCCCTTTCCTGTCCATCCTAGGAGGTAATCTAGAGAGGACCAGTTTAGAATCGCATCTTCTCAAGAGGTGAGAGGAAATCAGAAAAGAGATGTCCTTGGTCAAGGGCCTAATGTTATGGAATAAATTGAATCATAACTGTGTCCAGCCTGCTCACTTCTGACATGCCAAGGGTTGTTAAAAATACATATTTTTCAGTGGCCAATCAATTGCTAATCTGGTTATTACTGGTGGCTAATTATGTTTTTTTTATGCTACTTTAATGGGGGCGAGTGGGAATTATGGTCTGGGAAAATACCTTGATTCATGCAGATGTTTGTACTTTACCCAAAGTCTACCCCTACTCCTACTTTAGAGTAGGAGACATAATTTAGATGGAATTGTGTGGCAGTTAATTAATAAAAAGTAAATAAAATAAAAATTCAACAAATGGATGGTAAAATCTATGGCATTCAGATTATGTAGCATTGAGTCCTTCCTTAAAAAAAGGGCGTTGGTGCTTATCTGACACGCCCGTTCTCCTTGAGCTGCAAAGAGCATCCAGTAGTGGGAGGTGCTTCAGTCTCTGCTTATCTAGGCTGGGCTTAATTTGCGAAACGCTCCTCCTCCTCCTCCAAGGGACTCCTCCCCAGCGTTCCACAGTTTTGGCGAAGATGAGAGAAACAAACACCCTCGCCCTTAGCACTGTAAAAATTCGTTGGCCGAAACAGGATCCCACCAGACGGAAAAGGGTGGGGCTGGATGCTCTTCACAGCTCAAGAAGGGGCATGTCAGGTAAGCACCAACGCCCTTTCTCCCATGAGCTGCTCAGAGCATCCAGTAGTGGGACATACCAAAGCTTGGCCTGTCCTACGGGAGGGACTCCATCTGTCTTGGGATCCCCTCCTGGTCCCTGTGGACGCGTTGCAGAACCCTTCTGCCAAAGGAGGCCTCGGCTGATGCAAATACATCTATTTTATAATGCCTAATGAAAGGCGATGGAGAGGCCCAGGTTGCGGCACGAGAGATGTCAGTGATTGGTGCCTGCGTGGCCCATGATACCGATGTTGCAGTGCACCTTGTTGAATGAGCTGTTATGCCCCTGGGCACCTGAAGTGCTTGAGTCTGATACATTTTCGCTATTGCGGTCTGTAGCCAACGGCCTATTGTGGAGGATGAGACCTTGCATCCCTGGTTGTTGGGCTAAAAAGACAAAAATAAAGCCTCCGTTTTTCTAAAAGAGGTTGTGCAGTGAATATATATTCGTAACACTTGCCTCACGTCCAGCCGATGCCACTGTCGTTCTAGCCCTTGGAATGGCCTGGGACAAAAATTAGGAAGTATCAGTTCTTGTGCCCTGTGAAAGGCTGAATTAACTTTGGGTATGAACGTAGGATCGGGGCGAAGGACGACCCTGTCGGAATAGAAGACGCAAAGATCTTGCCTAATCGACAAGGCTGCCAGTTCTGAAATACGATGAGCGGAAGTGATTGCTACAAGAAAAACTACTTTATATGTCAGAAATTGAAGACTTGACGATTGCAAGGGCTCGAAAGGGCACTTAGTGAGAGCAAGAAGGACCTTGTTAAGGTCCCAAGTGGGATAATGGTGAATCGTTGGCGGGCATAAGTTTGTGGCTCCTCGAAGGAAACACTGTATCCAAGGATGATGGGAAAGGGATAGGAGACCTTCGTAAGTGATGAATAAGGCCGCCACCTGTCTTTTCAACGTATTAGGTGATAATCCCTTGTCAAGCCCCTCTTTTAAGAACTCTAGGATCTGCGCCACAGATGGAGAAATGGGATCAATTTGAGACTTAGTACACCATTTGTAGAATTGTGGCATTGTAGATGCGAGTTGTTGAGGGGCGTCTGGCAGCTTGGATAGTGGCGATAACTCTGTTGGAAAACTTTTCGCTCTTCAGACAACTCCGCTCAACCTCCTGACAGTCAGGTGCAACCATTGAGGGTCCGGATGTTGAAGGGGTGCTTGGGTTAACACGACCCCCTCTGGCGGAATTCTCCATGGTGGTGATACAGATAGACTGCAGAAGTCTGCAAACCATGACCGTCTCGGCCAGTAGGGAGCTACTAGAAGCAGTTCTGCCCGCTCGTCGAGCAGCTTCTGGATGATCTTGGGGATCAGTGGAAGGGGCGGGAATGCGTACAGAAGCCCCAGGGGGCAACGGCAATGGAGCGCATTAAAATTCTCCGCTCCTTGTGAGGGGTATCTGGAAAGAAATCTCAGGAACTGAGCATTGAGGTGGGAAGTGAACAGATCTACTACTGGCTGCCCAAATGTCCTGACCGCCTCTTGAAAGAGGGTCGGATGGAGACACCACTCCGATGGATCTATCGTGGCCCTGCTTAGCCAATCTGCCTGTGTATTTGACAGTCCTGAAATGTGTTGTGCTCTGATGGAAATCAGGTTGCTCTCTGCCCAACGACACAAATGCTCTGCTTCTCCCATGAGATGTTTCGACTGAGTGCCCCCCAGTTTGTTTATGTGAGCTTTCGCAATTACGTTGTCGGTCAATATTAATGTGTTGGTTGCATACCTGTGGAAGGAAGCTGTGGAGAGCCAGGTGTACTGCTCGAAGCTCCATTTATGCTGCACAATCGTTCTATGGAGGACCAGCGGCCTTGGGCTGTGAGCGATTGAAAGTGAGCTCCCCATCCAATCAGGCTGGCATCGGTGGTGATGGTAAGTCTGTGGGACTCTTTGAATAGGCAACCTTTGTTTATGGCTGGTCTGGTCCACCAGAGGAGAGATATGAGGACCTGTGATAGAACTTTGACCTTGTATTTGGAGTTGCTTCCTGCCGGATCGCTGGTACGGGAGCAGGAACCACTGGAGGGATCTAGTGTGGAGCCGGGCCCAAGGAATAATAGATATACATGAGATCATCTTGCCTAACAATTTTGATAAATCAGCTAGGGACACCCTCCTGCAAACCCTGACCTCCTTAACTAATTGATGAATTCTGTTTTGTCTATCTGGTGACAGGAAAACTTTGCCTTCCACTGTATCTATGACTGCCTCCAGATGGATTAATCGAGTCAAAGGCGTTAAATCAGGGGTCCCCAACCACTGGGCCGCGGACCGGTACTGGTCCGTGGAACATTTCCTACCGGGCCGCCGGTTTGCTGGGGGCTGCCATCTTGCTTGACGAGAAAGTGCTTCCAGGTGAGCTTTTCCGGTTGGAAAGCAGCATTTGGGTCCTGAAGGAATCCTCATGCCTTAGTTTCATCGAAGAGGGGGGCTTCGAATGAAACTAAGGCGCGAGGATTCTTTCAGTACCCAAGGCAAGGCGAGCTGAGCGACCGTCCCAAAGCCGTCCCGAAGCGAAGTCCATCAACAAAGGTACAAAGCAGGAGTTGAAGGTGGCGGGGAGAAGAGGGGGGACGGCTGGCTGGCCGGTCACTCGGCTCGCCTTGCCTTGTCTTGCATGCTGATGCCGGTACCAGGCCGCGGATCATTTTGTGATGCCGGTACCGGGCCATGGCACAAAAAAGGTTGGGGGCCACTGCGTTAAATGACTCTTTTCCTAATTGATTGAGAACCTGTGTAGTTGTAGGGAGTGTAATGTGGTCTGAGTATCTATGACTGATTGATGAACAGAAGATGACAGAATTAAGATATCATCGAGGTAACACTTGCAGTCGTATGGGGACACCCCAGAGATGAGCAGTGAGGGCTGCAAGAACTTTTGTGTAGGTCCTGGGGGCAGAGGCTAGTCTGAAGGGAAGAGCCACATATTCAAAATAGATTATTACAACAGAATCTTAAAAATTTATAGCGGGAAGGCCAAATTGGAATATGTAAGTACGCCTCCATCAGATCTATAGATGTAAGGACGTCACCCTTTCTGATACCAAGTAAGATAGATTGTAGGGTGTGCATTTTAAATTTGCAATGTACTAAAAATTGATTAAAGCGTTTCAAATCCAAGATTGCTCTCCACCCCCCTGAACTTTTGGGAACAACAAAAAGATGTGAATAGAAACCTCACCCTCGTTGGTCGGTAGCTACTGGTTGGATGGCTCATATGTCCAGTAAGTGCTGAATAGATCTTGTTTAACCGGATCTCTGGAAAGAGGGCACGACATAAAGAAGTCTGGGGGAGCGGATTGAAACTCCAGTGCGAGGCTGAATCTGATTGTGTCTCTGACCCAGGAATCAGACGCTGAGGAATCCCATTGGTCCGTGAATAATTTAAGGCGGCCGCCAATGGGAGGCAGGTTCATGGGGTTATCTTAGACACCGGAAAAAATCTATTTCCCGCTCCTCAGAAGGATTTCTTGGGTTGGTCACCCCTTCTGTTCCTATCCCCAAAGTCTGACCTCTCTGGCTGTTGCCCTGGTCGGAAAGGTGGGGGTCTCTGGTATCTGGTTGAGAATGGTTCCTGATAAAAGGGCCGAAAGGATCCCCTCCGAAAGGACTGAGGATTTCTAGGGTCTGACCTCTGAAAAAGGGAGGGTAATTTTTTTTTATTTCGAGTCTAGATGAGTAGCGGATCAAGGGAAGGGCCAAACAGTCTGTCTCCCGCTAGAGATGAAGCGAACTTGCATTTATGTTTAATGTCCGCTTGCCAGTTCTTTAACCAAAGCAAGCGTCGCGCTGTGACATGTGAAGTGATGGCTCTGACTGAAAACTTAACTGAATGAAAAGTTGCGTCAGCTGAGAATTTGGCGGCGGCTATCAGTTTTGCAATGTCTTGGTGTGTTCTAGTATTGGAATTGAGGACATGCTCCCGTAATAGCAGAGCCATCTAAGGGAAGAACGGGTAAAAAAGGAAGCAGCCGTGGCTGCTCTGATGGCCCATGCATCAGACTGATGGGCCCTGCATAGGGCTAGCTCGGCCTGTTTGTCCTCCGGCTTTAATGCCTCCAGTGCCTCACTGGGAATGGAGGAGGAGGACGCTAATCCCACATCTACCTCAGGAGTATTCAACAATTTTAAGAAATCTGGGGCCAAATTAAAGAATTTCCTGTCATAACCAGTGGGGGCCGGGTACATTGCTGTAGAAGCCCACTGTTTCTGTACCAGGTCTGCAAACATGTGGGGGACTGGAATCACGTCTGCCTCAACAATAGGTTGGGTGAAAATGAGATCCTCTGGTCCCTCATCTGATGGAGTTGGAGTGGTAGAAGGGGCCGGCTTGTCCAGTTGTGCAGTATTTTTGGCCTTGAACAATAGAGATTTGAAAAGTTGTGGCCGGAACAAGCCTGTAAATACAGGTTGGTTGGGAGCAAGGCCATCATCCTCAGACATCCCCCTTTCTAAGGGGTCCGTTTCCGACATGGCCGGGTCAGTATCATGCATTGATTCTGATTCACTCTGGTCCATGTGTTTAATGTATTCCACCTCTTCCGCCTCCTCCTCCTGATCCTCTTCCTGCGGCTTGTATAGGAGCATACCCCCTTGACACTGTACCTGGGTATAGTGTAGCTCTGACCTGGCCAATGACTGAACTGATTGCAAATCATACTCAGCGGGTGCGGGATGATCCCTGGTCAGAACTACATGTTGCAGGCCTGCTGCAATTCCCTGACGGATAGCCATCATTCGCTCTGGCACATACTCTGGAAGAGACTGTTCCTGCCGAAGACCGGCAGCCGTTGGTGTGAACTCGCTTTGGGTATTCTTCGCATGGTTGGTGATTGAGCTGACTGGACCTGTTGACTCAGAGGAGCCACGCTGCGCCTGGATGAGAGGGAGAGATCTAGGAGGGTAGGAGGGAAGAGGAGGACGGCTCTGTACTGTGTGGTGAAAAGGCTTAAAAGGTCCTGTGTGCCTCCCGTGTGCACTTATCTGTTTTTCCAGAGCCCTGTGGCACCTATTGGTATCCTTTTCTGATGCCTTAGAAGGCCCTTTTTTTTGCTTAGGATTGTGTGGATTTGGACTTGTCCCTTGAAGTTGAGGAGTGTGAACCATTACCCCGTCATTGTGATTATGGAAGGACCAGTACGCTCATTATTTAACGCTATATTGTGTAGGGGATTGGCGCGCCCAGAGACCTGGCCAAGAATGGACAGGGTGCCCTGAAATCAAATCCCCCGTATTTTCTTTTTCTTTTTTTTCCTTTTTTTAAATATGGATATCTGCTTCAAAATTGAGTCGTATCTCAACAATTCATTTATTATTGTTATGGAGTTGCCAGTATTATTATATTGGTGTGATTAATATTATCAGAGCATATGTACAAATATATATCAAATTTGGATGTCCCAATCAGCCAAATTGAGAACGCCTAGCAGGCCAAATAATCACTCACAGACCTTCAACAGCTTCCCTGCACAGGCGGACGCTAGCCTAGGTGCTTGCTGTTGTGCTGCTGGATAGGGAGAACTGTGAGGGTTGAGCGAACAAAACGAATTAACAAAAACCTCGAATATGTTGAAATGAGGTTGCAATGATTCCTCGGGGTATTTTGTGGGAAAAAACCCCTTCAATCTGGAGTAAGGATTATCTCACACAGTCTATTGAATTAGCACTCAACGTGGCCACGCGGTCCCTTGACAGTAAAAAAACAAAAAAATGGCGACCGGATGTTATTTGTAACGCGCGTGCCAGCAGCAATCTCCCACCAAGAAAAAGAGATAAGTTCCAACAGTCTTCCCTTAGGGCTAAACCGGTGGGGAGGGGTGAAATAACGAGGCGATTACACCTCCACCCCTAAATGGCGTTCCTGGGGGAAAGGAGAAAAAGCGATATGACTCAGAAAGGAATGAGAGAAAAGGCCTCGCTGTTTAAATAAAGCGGCTCGGCGATCATGATGGCAAGGGTAGGGCTAGCGGTTGGGGGGGGGAAAAGCACGTGAAGCCTGCCTGCGCTTTGGAGCGCTTCCTGGTAATGCAATCCCCAATGGCCAGATGGCAAGGGCAGCGTAAGAAAAGAACAATTGACTATCTGTCGAACCTTAAAAAGAATTCTGTTTCGGCCAAGGATTAATGAGAAGCACAGCCTATCTCTCATGAGGCTGAGCCAAAACTGGGGAACGCTGGGGAGGAGTCCTGTGGAGGAGGAGGAGGAGCGTTCCGCAAATTAAGCCCAGCCTAGGTAAGCAGAGACTGAAGCACCTCCCACTACTGGATGCTCTGAGCAGCTCATGGGAGAATGGCAGGTATTCTAGTCCTTACTGTTTTCACCTCATTTATCTTTTCCACAGAGATCAAACCCTAAACCTCCTACCACTGATGATATTACCTAGCTGGATAATGAAATATCTGCAAGAAAACAACTAAACTTAGAGCAACAAAGGCCCCAGTTCAACCCTGAGATATTCTATCCTATTCCCTTTTATTGGTAACACCTTTTTTTAGCTGTGACACCAATTATTTGAAAATAATATAAGCTAAAATTCATTATCATTCATCAGAATACTTTCTGTCCCCAAAACACAATTTTGCCTAGGAACATCTCAGCCAAATTTCTTTTGATTTCATCAAAAGTATGAAATGACTTCCATGTTAATGTACTTGCATATTACTGATTCCTCTTTAAATGGTAACATACTTACAAGACACAAACTATATTGACCTATATTCCATCTGCTAAAACAACATTAACATGCATTAAAATTCTTACCCCTTTTGGCTCAGGCACAATCAAATGAGTACATTTTTTATTGAGGCTCAAACGGCAATCCCCACCATAAAATGTAATCAAAGCCCACAATATATTCCGGTCTTCAGAGGAAACCTATCAAAAAAGGTAAGATACTTTAATAAAAAACATTTTGAATTGTATATTGTATCATTTAGCTGCTTTTTGCAAAATATTTTACCTGAGACAGACAAGCGGCAACTCCAAAAAAGATCTGACAGGATTCTGGGGAAAAGCCATTTACTCTGACAAAATTAAGTCAAGGAAATAACATAAATAAAATGTAAAATGTATTAAGATAACAAATGAAAAATGTCCCAATTTTTTTGAAGTTTTGTGAAGTTTCCCAAAACTTCACAAAAAACTATGCATCGTTTTGTGAATACCAAGTTTTCTAAAGAGAACAGAAAGGAAACTGATCTAGCATTATGCAATCAAGAGGAAATGATTTGAGGTAGATTTGAGATCACAATCCTTTTGCTACAAAATCACCAGACGTATTTGAGTGAATATTTTGTCTTAGGAACAAACAGGATGCTTTATGGAAGTGTCCCACAAAACCTGTTTCCCCAAAAACAAGACCCACACAAAAAATAAGCCCTAATCTGATTTTTAAGGGTGCATCCAATATAACCCATACCCCCAAAATGAGCCACCCTGGGAAGGGATGTGCGTAGCCAGCACCTGAGGGGGCAAGGGCTGACAGTGTTGTTTTATTTACTTTTTATTAATTAACTGCCACACAATTCAAGCCTACCCAGCACAGGTGAGTTGATTACCTGTCCAAGCGGCAATGGAAGCAGAGGTGGGAGTGGGGAGGCAGGTTGTCTGGATGCAATGCACGGGCTGCGAAAAAACCAAGTCGGTGGACTGAAGCATGTGGATGACCACAGGAGGCTTGTGTTTGCACAGTAGCACCAGAGATAGAGGCATAGCGGGGAAGGCAGGTGATCCCAATGCTCCACATGGACCACAGGTAAGACATGTGAAGATGAGCCTCTCGCAACCAGCTGCCCATTCCATCCCATCTCTCAGCTTGCCTGCAGCCTACGTGGTATGGATTACATGCCTCTCCCGTATGCTTCTACCTCCGTCTGCAAGTGCTGCCGCACAAAGATGAGCCTCCTGTGGCTGGCTGGCCGGCCTCCATTTCTTGGCTTTCCCACAGCCTGCACGGCACATCCAGATTACATGCCTTCCCTCCTGCCATCTACTGCTTGGACAAGTAATTAACTCACCTGCACAGCATGGGCTGTGCAGCCCCAGAGCGCGTCGACCAAAGAACTAGCAGGCTGCAGCTGCTGCTGGACATCAGCCCCCAAATGCTCGCCGCCTTTTGTGTATGCGCTGATCACCCTGAAATCGTGTTTCCTCAAAAATAAGCTTTAGTGCTTATTTTGGTGCCCCAAAAATATAAGACCAGATCTTGGAGAAACACAGTATATATGCTTTTGCAGCTTTTGTTTCCGATTATTTTAAGTATCAGCTTCAATCTATCTCACAAAATAATGGTTCTAAGAATTGTATTGTTAACATAGATAAAATGCAGAACATTCAATTTGAGGGATGTAAAAATACCTGCATCTAAAGAGAGAAAATGGTAATCCTAAACTATGCAGTTAACATTATATTTTCCTTCAAACATTGATTATGGCTTTGTAGAGAAATGGAGAAAAGTGTTCATTGGGGACAAAATTAGTGCCAATAGAAAAATCGAAACAAAGCTCAATTTCAACAATACTGTATATGTATTAGGTATCCTAAAACGTCTTGGAAGTTAACTTCATGAACACATTCACTTTTCTTGGCAATATTACCAAAAATGGTTTGTCTACCAAATAGCTTTCTTATTTCCTGGAAATCTTCTATCTAAATACCACATTTCCTTTCCAAATATACATTGACCAGATGTTGTGACACATACAATCAATTAATCAATAATTAAAATTTTTTATTAAAGCTATTGAACATTTGATTTTTTTCAGAAATATATTTCTTTTTAACTGTGAGCATAAGAAGATTCATATAAATAATATTAGAAGGAAATAAAATATAATAGAAAGATAAGTCTGGAAAACACAGAATTATAGAATAATTAGAGGCATACATATTTGAGATTGTAAATGATGATTTAGAAAATTCCTAATTTATAATCTCTACAAGATTAGAAAAATCAATTAATTTTAAAACAAATGTCATAAGACAAGTTTGACAAACATTAATAAGGAACAACAATCCCAAAACAGTTTATGTTTCATATATGTGCATTTTATTTACTGTAGATCAGATTAATAGGACACTATAATTTCAATATACATTCTCTCAAAAATTTCAAAGGACTTGCAAAGAAAGGAAAAAAGAATTATTCGAATTAAGCAACTGGACCTTGCAAGAGCATTAAAACATAGGACCTTCTTTTAATAAATTCTTTTAAGCAATTTCTTGCCTAGCTAAGAAGCAAGTTATATTAAAAACATCATGTTATATAATTTTGATAACATTTTCACTGGAAAGGATACGGAAGAAGAGCTCCACACTGAACAGACAAAGTCACCCAGGAAGGCTAGAATAGGTTTTAAAAAATCATCTAGTAAATGTCTACAAATAAATATATATCTGAGAATATTTTCTAATTATAACAATAAGCATACACACTGATCTGGTTATCATTCATTCATATTTAATTGTTGGGGGCAATATGTTGGCTCTGTAAACCACTTAGAGAAAGCTGTAAAACTCTGTGAAGTGGTACAAAAGTCTACTTATTCTATCCTGTGCTATTGCTATTAAGCTATCTTATCAAGCACAAGGATTGTTTACTTCTGTATTATCTGTTAATTGGCAACAGCTGTGTGTTTTCAGACAATTTCTCCCAAGCTTATCTAGAGATATAAAATAATGAATGGGAGTCCTCTACATGTATACAATTAGTGGCTTTTACCTCCATATTAGTATTCCAAATTATGCTAATCTGTGATTATAATAAAACTGATTTATTGCTAAGGTTCCAAATATTGAAAGTTGATATTATTGAAACATATAACCTGTACAAGGCAACAGTAAGGACATTTCTTTTATAAGTATCATCAAACATCTACGCCCTCCTTAGCCAGCTAGATAACTGGGGCTATCAATCCTGATTCCAATAACTTAGTGTTTTTTGGGGGGTGCCAGGAATTTGAGGTGAAGCATTAACTTGCTGTTTAGTAGTAGGCTCATAATGCACACAACACAGTGCTCAAAGTGATTGACTTGACCCTTTTCTTCCTTCCCAACACACACAAAAAGCATTTATTTCCATGCAAACCTGGCAACATTAAGTTCTGTATCAAAATGTTAATTGTACTAAAACAATAGAGTAGAATAACAGAGTTGGAAGGGACCATGGAGGTCTTCTAGTCCAACCCCCTGCTCAGGCAGGAAACCTTATACCATTTCATACAAATGGTTATCCAAGCTCTTCTTAAAAACTTCCAGTGTTGGAGAATTCACAACTTCTTGAGGCAAGTTGTTCCACTGGTTAATTGTTCTGTCAGGAAATTTCTTCTTAGTTCTAAGTTGCTTCTCTCTTTGATTAGTTTCCATCCATTGCTTTTTTGTCCTGCCCATCCATTATAGCAATAATTATAATGCTCTAAATATTTACTTTTACTACTGGAAGATCAAACACTTCACGAGATTCACCAACTTCTGGATTATCCCCATCTTCTGAAATGATGTGTGAAGCTAGAGCATTATAGGAAACTTCCTTTGCTTTCCCATCTTTCAGAAGTTGAATAACCTATATAATGTGAAAATGAAACGTTAATCTTTTCAGTTTCAGAAAAATTCAGAAAAATGTACAACAAATCACATTTTCCAGGATATACAGCGCGTACATTCATGCTAATATTATCCCCTTTCCCAGGGAAGGCACAAATTTCAATTAAGCCAAACAACAAAGTTGTTGCTGGACATCAATGAATGATAGAAGACATCTGATTTGTTTCAAGGCTAATTCAATCAGCTGTTCCCCTAGGAGAAAGGCTATCATTCCTAGATCTTTGCTTAGTTTGTTTTTAAAATTTTTAGTTGTGAGCAATAAAGGGAAGCAACAGATCTATCCTATTCCATCCCATGTGGAAGAGAATTAAAATAGAAGTAAAAGAGGGCTCTTGAAATCATTCCAATTTGTGGGAGAGGGATTATAGGTCTTATTGCCAGAAATTGAATAAAAAACCCTCTCTCATTAGTTCATGACATGATTAATCAAGAAAAGACCTCTAGGCCTCTTTGGGCTAACATTTAACTCCCCAATCCTACTGCTGATCTGTTAGTTTTCCCCCAATACATTTAAGCATACTGTATGAATACCACATTTCATTAAAACTGGGCTACCTGAAGCCTTCCTTGAAAAATTCAGCTCTTGCTCTCTCAGCATAATAAACACATAGTTTGCCAAGACAGCAATAAATAAAATGTAAGATAATGAAAAATGAATAAGTTTTACTTTTACCATCTTTCCACAATAAGTTTTACTTTTACCATCTTTCCCCTGGATGTAAGTATTGCATGAAAGATGCTTGTATTCTACATTTCATTAAAAACAATTATGTATTTGGTGCACCAAATACGTTATGTTTCTAGTTCTCCAAGAACTTCCTTCCTTCTGCTTATGCCATATAGAATTATATAAGATAATTTGGTCATCTGTTGAAACTTTTAGGAAAAGAACATAATTCATTTTACTTCTCATTAAGTAAATTGCCTAGAAACTCATCATTTTACATGTTGAAAGGCAAAAATCTTGAAATGAAAAGCCAGAAAAATTCCTACTTTTGCTCAGTTCCTGCAAAAAAAGTGCTTTATTATAAAAAAAACAATGTCTCACATGTTCCCCACTTCATTTCATTTATATAAGAAATTTAGTATAAAATTACTCATAATTCCTTGTGGTTTCAAAGCTCAGGAAACTATTATTTTTGATCTTGGTTTCGGCCAAGACTTTTTCCAAGTTTGGACATCACAGACAACTATGTTTACTTCAAAAATGATATTTCATCAGGGAAGGAGGAAAAGACTTACTGTATCCTGTAATGAAATTTACTGCAGCATTAAATTGCAATCATTTTGTGCACCAGATCCACACTTGCAATATTAAAATGGTTAAAAAATAAATAAAAGTTTCAGAACACAGAAGCAAGTGTGAAGTCCTTGGTGCTCTATTGAGTTTGACTGCTTCCTTGAAAATGGTAACAAAATGTCTGCAAGAAAATCACTCAGACAGCACTCCCCCACTTTTAACCCTAAGCTACACATATTCCCTATTGGTGCAAGTAATTTGATGAGTCCATGGGGTCTTATTACAAACAAACTGAAAAGCGTTTTAGGCATACATCATGAGCTTTTGGGATGTTTTTCAGCTTCCCAATCTATTCCCCCCCCCCTTCAACCCTAAACTACACCTATTCTCTTTTGGTGCAGGTGATTTGAGAAGTCCATGGGGTCTTATTACAAACGAATTGAGAAGGCACTTTAGGCAGAGAGCATAAGCTTCCCTTTTGGGAAGTTTCTCAGCTTCCAAATCTATCCTGCAGCCTGTGATCACCTAGTGGTCTCCCATCTAAAAGCTAACCGGAGAGGAGGAAAGGAGACTTTTCCTCCCCCGAGGTTTTGTCTTAAAACATCCCCTTGGAAGAGCTCTATTGAAGTCTACCGTACAGTGCAATATTAATATTGCACTATCAGGGGTTTTTAATTCAATTGCACAGAATGCGAAAGATGTGCGTTTGTGTTTATTTTCATAGTCATAACGTACACTGAAGATGGCATTTAATTTCTTTGCACGAGCTGCAATGACAATAAAGTAAACTCCTTGCGCTGTCCCCAGCTGGGGAGAAGAGGAGGAAGCAAGTGTATTAAAGCGCATTCATGGTGACAGAAAGGAGGAAACGACAAGCGAGAAGGGGGGGAGCGCCAGAGGCCTAGTCGGGGCCCTTCCCGCGCGGGGGGGACTTCAAACAGCGGCGACGCCGGGAAGACCACCCGGCCCTCAGCTGCCCGTCGCCCTGCTTTTCCCGCCTCCCCGGCCCCTCAAGACCCTGCTCAATCCCGGCCGAAGTAGAGGCCTCCCCGGCTTCCACAGCAGCAAACGCGGGACTGACTGACAGGAGGAATAGGAGTCAGTCCCGCTCAGCAGCAACGCCGGGCGCTACGAATGGTTAACGGCCGCGGCCGGGGATTTCCCATCCCCCCCACTCCCCCGCGCTCCGCCACGCGCGATCGGTTACAATGCCCTCCTGTCCCGCTCTCTGGAAAGAGCCTCGCGGCGGCGCATGTGCCTTCAACCCCCGCTCTTCCTCCCCCCGCCATTCGCTGTCATCAGGGTTAGGGGGGAGGGAGATCACGAGCGCAGCAGGAACCCCCAAGGCAGAACAGCGCGCCCCCCTCCGCGGAAACGTTCCCCCCCCCCTCCCCCGGCCGCCGGGGTACCTTGGAATCGATGTCTCCCACCACGAAGAACTTGACATCCTTGAACATCTCCTCGGGGACCTTCATCTCACCCTTGTCTTCCTCCCTCGCCATGATCCCGTCCGGCGACGCAGTGCTTCGGCTTCCGAGCGCAATGATTCAGAAACCTCCGCGGAACCTGAGACCTCCCCTGCCCGATGCCTCCCTCCGCCCAGATAGCCCAGATAGCCGCCGATGCGTGGGAGAGGAGCGCGCTCTTTGGGAATGGACCACTCCGGCCTAGTTGGGGAGGGGGATAGAAAAGCAGGAGGGTAGGGAGCGGGACCCTCCCGTCCGCTTGGGACGTCCCGGAGACTGCTTCCTAGCTCTCTTCGAAATGGAACAGAGCGTGTATTTTTAAACTTGGGGATCCGCTAAAAGCAAAGTTCGGTTCGTCAATCGAGAGACATCCACTCTCCCCTTCGATCGACATATATGGGCTCACCCCAATCTCCGCCTACTAACAAAACAAGCGGCAGAAATGCCAAGTTGCAGGCTCCGCCCACTTTTAAACTCCCCCGCCTGTATAGCCCCACCCACCGTCTTTCTCCCGCCGGCGGGGATTTATTGGATAGGTTTTCGCGGTCTTAAATAATAGATATGAATTAGAAGTTGTAAAAAACCCAAAATGAAACATGAAAGCAGTGAAGACATAATGGGGGTCTGCATGCAATGAAATTTCATTAAGGCGTGCCGATTAGTGTGCATTCCAGATGACAAAATTAACTTGTTCTATCTATCCATCTATCTACCTTTTTCCTTCCTGGAGAACTATTATCTAACTCGAGGCCTATTTAAAGGCATGGAGTGAGAAGAAAATCTTTATGCATTCTTCCTGAATGGTATAATTAATATTTTAAAGAAGTCTTGAAAAGGATCGTTGTGTATGACTACGAAAGGATAGAACAAAAGATTGATAACCAACTGACACACTGTATATAAAATGGAAGATAGGTTTATGTTTTTTGTTTGTACGTGTTTGTCTTAAAAAAATAAAAATCTTTTTTTTAAAGAAAAGAAAATGATCGTTGCCAGCAAGTTCTGCATTTTTTTGCACCCCAAAACATGCTCCTACTGGGTTTTCTGGTTCCAACTAACCTAAAACGAATACAAACTCCCTTTGCCAGGCAAATGTTGAATTCCAATATTCGATTTAACAGTCATTTAATGGTGCTTTGAAATTGTGAAGGGCCCCAGAATGGATGCTTAACACATACTCACACAGAAAGACATTGATGGGTTGTATGGCACACACTTGAAAGTAAAACTGGAAGACTATAACTGTGAAGTCTGGCAAGAACAAATAATGCTTATCCATGGGAAATATGCATGTGTAAACCTTTTAATAATTCTGGGTAGTTAGAAAGCTGATAAAAGTAACGAGTTAGGCAACTTGCAGAGCTCAGCTAAAAGTTAGAAATAGAGATGGCCTGCAGCAAATCAAATGTGTATTAGATGATATTTATTATCTTGTTTTGTCCCACCTTCTTTAGTGTATAAGACTTACTTAATCCTTTGTTCTTTGTTTTCTTGGCATTTTGGCCAGGAGCCCTTTTCCTTGGAGTACTGCAATAAAAAGCAATCAGAAAACCTGCACCTCGGGTCTGGCATCCATCATTGGCTTCGGCACCAGGCTCAGACCCGAATTGGGGACAACATGGTTCACCTTTATGATCAGTTGTAGCATCCTGCAGCCACATAACCTTGATTTGTGGCTTTTTTTGTTAGTTTCTGACCAAAACATGCATTTAAAACAAGACCTTTGCCCTTAAAAATTGCTTAACGGCCGCCAAAAAATGTAAAATTGAGTTTAATTACATGGGTGCCCCAATTTCTAATCATAGCAATCTATGGTCAGGAATCCCAATTCTGGTCCTAAGTTGAGGCTACTTGTACTGTAGTTTGCATATATCATAGGAATAATAATATATATGCATATAGGAACCCCCATTTGCATCTTTTCTATTTTTAGATTGCAGGCAGTTTTTAGCTAACCACTGGTTACCGTACTAAGACATAAGACATAAGAATTTTTTTTTTTTAATTTGTCATTACACTCGCAAGCGGGTGCAACGAAATGAGGTGCTCTTCCACAAGTAAAACTGGACAACACTATTGAAAGAAAAATAAAATTAAACACAACAGACCATACAATAATCTCTATACAATTTAAAAATGTAAATACCCCATTACTCTCAGCCATTAAATTCCACAAAATCTTATGACCCTGCATTCAAACTCAAAACTGCACTTGGATAAAAACTGTTCTTAAATCTAGTCGTCCTTGTTCTTAATACCCTGAATCTCCTTCTCGATAGTAATAGTTCAAAGAGCTGATGTCCCGGATGAGAGGAGTCATTCAATATATTAAATATCTTCCTCTTACATCTATTCCTATACCGTTCTTCCAAAGAGGGGAGTGAGCAGCCAATGATGTTTTGGGCCATCTTAATCACCCTCTGAATTGCCTTTTTCTCTGCTACTGTGCAGCTCGAGAACCATACACAGAGACAGTAGGATAATATACTCTCAACTGAACTCCGATAGAAGGTAGTCAGTAGACTCTCAGCCAGTTGTTGTTTCCTAAGAATCCTTAGTAAATACAACCGTTGTTGTGCCTTCTTAATTAAAGCAGCGGTGTTTGCACTCCAGGTCAGGTCATTTGTAATGATGGTCCCGAGATACTTACATTCAACCACCTGTTCCACACGAACTCCCTCTATATACAGTGGCTGAATGTCTGCTCTTTTTTTCCTATAGTCCACTATAACCTCCTTGGTCTTCTTAATGTTAAATAGAAGATTATTATTTTTGCACCAGTGGGATAGCTGTAATACCTCATCCCGATAGACAGACTCATCATCCCCAGAAATAAGTCCTACAAGCGTAGTATCGTCTGCAAATTTTATTATCTTATTGTTGGGATGTTTATTTGTGCAATCTGATGAATAGATGGAGAACAGTACTAAATTAACAGCAGAACCCCAAAAGGTATTTATGACTCAGTTCCAAAGTTAACCTCTGCTGCAGTGCTCCTGTGGCCCTTTGCGACCTTACGGCAGACACCCAACAGCACCTCCCACCCTGCCTACTCCTCCCTCCCTTCCTGCTCCATCACCCCCCCACCCCCCACAAGCACAGCTGCCCCCATCACTGACCACTCCTGATTGGGATAGAGAACAAGGAGTGAGCAGGGCACAATCCCATATTTTTCTGGGTGAAAAAACAGTCTTGGCAAAGTTATTAGCCTCATAGAGCTAGCTTTAGCCCAGAGAAAGGAAGCCATGAGAATTTATTTTTACTGGCTAAAGCTAACCTTTGGTCTGCAGGCAGAGCTATGGCTAGCAATAAAGAAATGGCTGTGGGGACCCGAAGGGAGTAAGAAACAGAGCATGGGGTATGTCAGAAATGTTGGGGGAGGGAGGGAGGGCGTGGGAAGTTCTCCCCATGCCTGAGATATCTCACTTAACAATCCACACAATTGTTTAATGAGTGCTTTGGGAGAGCAGGGGTGGTTGGGTTATTAAGTGTCCACTTAGCAGCCCTTAAGACATCTGGCTGTAATAGTCCATTATTATAATTGGAGACAGCCTGTTTGAAAGTCTTCAGTACAGCCCTCAGAGTTCTCTGCTAATATGCATTACATATTTATTTAGCGAATGGCTGCCAACACTTGTAACGGTGGGACAATATACGAGAAGGACACGGAGGAGAACTTTTAGGGTCTCCACTTGAATTACATGTTGGGCAGAATTAATTGAGGAGGCTTTCAAATGAAGTTTCTGTGACGTTACTCTACTAGCCATAGAGATCTTTCCAGGCGTCCAAGTCATTCTTGTCCCCTGAGTTTTCCAACCTCTTAATCTTCATCTCCCAAATTATTCATGCATATGTGTGATTCACACAAACTCAGTGTCGTTGACCAGCAGGAGTCACTATAACCAGAGTTTCAACGTGTTTGGGATGTGTCAGAAGTAGCCAGGTGTTATTCTGTTCTATTCTTAGAACCTCTATCAAGGAAATTGAACTCATTAGGCCTGCAAGTAGATTAGTTCAATATGCAGGTAGTCTTCAATTTACAGCTGGTCACTTAGTGATCGTTCAAAGTTACAACAGGCACCCCCACCCCCCCAAAAGCTACATATGATCAGTTCTGAAATTCAGATGGCTGCTTCCCCCCCCCCATTGTCGTATTACTGCATTTCAGGTGCCTCCATTTGAGCGTTTTGCAGCATCCACAATCACATAAAGGCAATTTGCAATGGGTTTGGGTTTTTTTTGCTGAAAGTAGCCATTTACTTCCACTTTCCAGCAAAAACTCTCCACAGTGAACAATAGATTTGGTTAACAATCATGGTCTTTTGCTTTTGATGGATGTGTTTACTTAGTAATGGTGGCAGAAAATATTATAAATGTGACTCGCCTCATGGAGGACCTGTTTTACCATTGTCAACACTTACGACAATAATAGGCAGGCTTCCTAATGGTTGTAAGTTGAGAACTACCTATAATTCATTGCAGAAACAGCTTGTAGCTTAATCAAGCCATAAAACAGTAAAATAATGGAAAGTTCGCAACTTGCATTTCTTGAGTTGAGACAACAGGTTGTTTTTCAAGATAAACTGCCAGTGAAATTAAATATTGAAAGAAATAAAAAAAATTTTTTTTAAATAATGGTTATACTAAAGTCAATGTGCAGGTTTTAAAAAAATCCAGTTTCATGGATGTGTGCAGGATTATTTGTATAACTTCACAATAACGAACCTCCCATTTTTGCATCCCTACTGAGTTTTTATGCACAATTTGTGACCTTGCCCTGGAACTATTTGCAAAGGCACAGGTTGTGCATATAGCTAGTTGCTGCTCCCATGGCTCTCTAGACTGAGATGACTGGCTATTATACTCTGCTATACATACATAAATACATTGAAAATTGCTTTGGTCCACTTGGGTGGAACTAGGCATTACAACAATAAAAATGAAATAATGCCACTACCGCTACCACAAATCCAAAGCAAAATGTATCAGTGAAAGCTTAATTTGGAAAATGTTTTTGCAATGTCTTGCTTTTATCTAGAAAACTGTTTAAATCTAACTAGCTAATTACACCTGCCCATTATTTATTTAT